TGCTCACTTCAGCTGCGTGGCTGCCGGCCGCCATCTTTGTTGGCGGTTAATTTGCATATCTCGCTGATTAGCCAATGGGAAGCATAGCGAAGGTACGGTCAATTACCTTTTTTGTCTTTTATTAGATAGGATAGTGAAATACTACATTAGCATAAAAAACAATGAGGAAGTTTTATGTACTGATATGGATCAATTAGCAAAATAGATTGTTACACAAAAGAACAAAGTGCAGGACTATTGCTGTGATTGTGGCAGCCAGGACCAAGCTACACTCCGATCTGCTGCCAAGAGGATAAATAACAGGTGCCCCAGCTACTAGACGCAGAATTCATTCACCCTAAGGCCACACTTCCACGGGCTGCTCGTGGCTAATAAAACTGAGGGCAGCAGGCTTCCAATCACATTCATTCTGTGAGATACTAGACACCTCTGATGAGCAACTTTGGCTCAACTTTCTTATAACTGTGCTATAGTCTGAAACTACTCACCTACCCCACCTTCCTTCCTTCTCTGCTTCACAGAGGTCAGACCACCTAGTGTAGTACCCTCTGCACCTCCTGTAGCTTCCTGAATTTTTTCTTCCATAGGCAATCCCTCCAGTAACTTTCTTACACATCTCATCTCACCTTGACATCTCTATTTCAGAATACCTGGACAAATGTAATAGTTTGCTACTATTTGTGTAACAATATGGCAGAATATACATATAAGACACATACAAATTCATATATTTGTGTAAATATACCAGAATATGTCTGAAATTATGTAAAATAAACTGGTGTCATCAGTTGCTTCCAGAAAGGAGAACTGGTAGCTGGGGAACAAAGAAAGAAGGAAGATTTTTTTCCCCTACATAACTTTAACTTTTGAATTTTAAACTATGTGAATATATCCTCTGTTTTAAAAAAATTCATGCATTTTTTTAAATGAGCAATAACTAGGTTGCAAAACCTCATGATTTCATTTTAAAGAAAATAAATTTCATAAATCAGACAGTGCACATTTATAATATATGCATTTTCAAAGATGAAAGGATAAAGTAACAATATTATAATTTTCCCTGTCTGCATATTCACATTTCTAAAATGTACTCACAATTTTATGCACTAATAAGAAAAGTGACTATTTTTAGAGTAAGCAATAATTCTTTGCAGAATCCTTTGCCATCATGCTGGCAGTGACTTCACACATGTTCCCTTCCAACCAAATATGTTCCTTATTTCATTATGCCAGGGGACTGAGCCTCCCAGTTAGAGTGCTCACTATTAAAGAGTGTGACTAAGTCCAACATGTCTTAATCCTCACTTCTGCAGGGCTACAGAGTTTTAACCCACTTGGAAAACTAAAGGACAAAGACTATCTTCATAAGTACTTAATGTAATTTATGAAGACACTTAACAACAGTGGCAATTACAGTGTTAACCACAGTACTCTATAATAATAAAAGAGTAATATTCTAATTAGACCAGACGTCATTCTGGACATCATTCCAGACGTCCTTCCAGATGAAGAGGGGGCCAGAGGGAAGCCGGATCTGGACATCATTCCAGACGTCCTTCCAGATGAAGCCGGGGCCAGAGGGAAGCCGGGGTCCCGGGTGCTTGCAGGCAGCCAGAGGGAAGCAAGCCTGGGTACCGGGTGCCAGAGGGAAGCCGGTGCCAGCAGCCAAGGGAAGGAAGGCCTACTATTTCATGAATTTCGTGCATCAGGCCTCTAGTGCAATTATGAAAACAAAAACTAAATGTATCACTAGTTTATGTCACACTGGGTTTCTGAAGGTACTATTGGTTTGGAATACACTGTGTGCTCCAAGTGCTTGTCTACATTTAGGAAACTGACATACAACCATCCGCCAGTCATTTGTTGCCATTTTGTACCCATTTGTTAGGCAAGGCACTGTCTATACAAGAACAAATGAGATAGGATCTTGGCCCTTGTGAAACTTGTCTTTGAGTCAGAGAGGAAGGGAGCAGGTCTGCAAAGCACTAAGTGAAAAAAAAACTCAGTTTCTCTGATATTCTCTCTGCTTTCTATTTAGTGGTCTAAAAGGCATTTAGTAATGCTTAACTTCTATTTGAAATGTAGGAGATGTTAGGAAAATCAAAATATATTACTTTCCCTTGCTTGTACTTATAAAATTTCTCTTATAACATTTCAAAGTTGTAACAAAAATCTAAGAGAGTTCATGGCTTTTTTTAAAGTAAGTTTTGCTGACATTAAGTATGAACATCAGAAAAATACATTTCTAAAGAGGTAAACAAGAAAGATGTAAATACAAATTTAAGAATTAACTGAAAAAGTGTTATAGGCAATTCTGTTTTAAACAGCCTCAAAACAGAAGCATTTAGGGGGAAATTCTCTCACATTTGAAAAAATGTATAAATAGATTTTCCAATCTTAAAGGGAATCCTTTAAAAGAAAAGTGTTTGCCCTTACCGGTTTGGCTCAGTGGATAGAGCACCAGCCTGCGGACTCAAGGGTCCCAGGTTCAATTCCGGTCAAGGGCATGTACCTTGGTTGGGGACACATCCCCACTGGGGAGTGTGCAGGAGGCAGCTGATCGATGTTTCTTTCTCATCGATGTTTCTAACTCTCTATCACTCTCCCTTTCTCTCTGTAAAAAATCAATAAAATATAAAAGAAAAGTGTTTAATGTTTTTGAAATACTTGAAATCAATACTAGACCAGCTTAAATAAAAAATATGAATAAATTCAGCATTTTAAAAAACTGTCCTAAAAGAACAATTGGTGTCCAAGAATCCATGTCAATTGCAGTCATGACCTGCTTTTTGAATTCAGGGTGTTAAATAACTGTAAACATCACCATATCCCAGAGATAAGACTTACATCCAAACGCCTATATAAATCTGGAATATCAGCAAATAGGATGAATAGACACACAGCCAGCTGTACAATCAGCACAAGGACAAATATATCTGAGGAAATAAAAACACAAGCTATCATTTAGAGAAATCAGAATATAGAGTGTCACATCTATTGAAAGACACATTCTAGATTAATGCTGATTAAATTTACTTGATTTCTACATCCAAACACAGCATAATCAATGGAAAGTACTCATTTCTATGCAATAGGTCTCACCTCTAAAATGTCTATGCATGTCCTTGAGGCAAGTGGCAATAGATAGAGGGTAACATTGACGATGTACACTTAGATTATTACAAGAAGTTATTTTTATTGTTACAGAATAAATGCCTTGAAGGCATTCAAGTATCTGAGTGTCTTTAATGCAAATCATCCACCTCAAATCTTTTTCTGGGGGAAAAAAATGGCTGTAAATAAACATGTTTTAATTGCAGTCATGTAGAGGTCAGCATTCTATTGCTTTGTCATCCCAAGAAGAAGGGCAACATAATTCTCTCTGAACAAACTTTTATGAGGCTATTGATTTTTCAACTTATGCTTCTAAATTTTTCTGATTAGAGGGGGGTAGTGATGGTGTCCAAATAAATATCCTGAAAGCAGGTTCCATATTTCTAACACACACTCTGTTCCCAGCTCAGAATGTAAGGAAGTAGGAGATGCTTTGGCCAAGAGCCTCCACAACTCTGTAGTCAGGTTCCTCCAGGCTGGACCCACTCCCAGCCGGCCAACCACATGATGCCAACCTGCCCATTGTCTTCATGGCAGGAGACATGTTGCAACTGAGTGCTGTGTTCCTCCTCCCTACCTCCTCCAGGATGAATAATGACAAACAGAGAAATAAATGAGTCTTTCCAGTTTGGAGTGATCCCATGAAAAGACACCTAGAGACAGACTTCTGGTGAAAGTAAGAGGTGGATAAAGAAGCCTTAGCATTTCATACAGCTTTGAGGGAGGGAACAAAAGACCACAAAATGAGGCTGCACAATGTGTTTTACAGCAACCTAGAGTGGAAATCAGGAGACCCTGAATAAGTGCCAACTCTGCAGCGGCTCCCTGAATGACCCAGGCATGTGTGTCTTCCTCTCCAATGACCTCTCACCTCTGACCCTGTACGATTCTACTCACAGTTTTTATAGGTCGGTTGCCTAAATGGTTTTCCTTTAGAGAAGATAAGAGCCACAATAATGCAGTTGATTGTTCCCAAGAACCATATAGTTGTGTTCTCAAAACTTGGGAAGCCATCATTACTTTCAACTTTTCCTGGAGCAGTTGGTGGCGTGGTTAAATTTGAAATGCTTTTATTTTGCATTGTGCAGGCACTAAAAAGGAAACCAAAGAAGCCAATGAAGTAAGATGACAGACGCTTATGGAGAATACGTGCAAGACTCCATGGCCTCAGTTTTTCTATAATTGCCAAAACTTTGGGAAAGAATATACTGAAAAATAAGGAGAAAGAAACCAGCACAGATAGAGCCATGTTTTGGATAGATAGATAAATGATAGATTAGATAGATAGATCCAAGTTATTTATTTAAAAAATTGAGCACCAATCATGTATATTAATGCTATGTGGGAGAGAGAGATGAGTACGTCATGAATCTTTCCCCTGGTGTCTTAATATCTCTAATATTTATAAGAGTGACCACATACTTTATCATTCAGCAGGTACAGATTTGAATGAGGAAAGAAAAGATATTAATAATGTCATTGGCTATCAGGCTTAAACTGGGGATGTCCAAGCAAACTACAATGCATGGTCAGCCTTGATAGAAAAGATAGTCATAGAGGATCATCTAAGACAGGCAAAGATGAGTGCCAATGAATGTTACTATCAAACTGTATCACAGAGAAATGAAGGTCGCTGGAAAAGTACCCAAGGGACTAAAGGAAGCCAAATCCTTTGGCAGAATGAAGACTCAGTTGCCTCCTGCCGTATGGGCCATGTGATGTGTGATAGAAATTAGAGAGTGGGAAGCTGGCATCAAGTCTGTGACCCTACCTGTGCATCCCCATGTTGTACCAAGGCTGCCTCTGGACCAGAATGAAGCCCACAGTCTGCATGGCCAGGCTGAGAAGTATGTTGAAAATCACAGAGAGCAGCAAAGGTGGGGAGATCAGCCTTCCCACAGGTCTGAAAGGCACTAGCTTGGGGTAGGCACCATTCAAATTCACTGTAAAATAAATTCAAGTGTTATATATATGAGAGCAGGGAAATGTTACATTCTTCTTTAGAAAAACAGTGTAACTTCTTGGGCCCACATATCTGAGGAAATTGACAAATCAAAGTACATCACAAACTGAATGAACAATACAATAGTAGATTCAAACTGAAGTCATATGAGAAATTGGTAAGGCAGCAGACATAAAACAACCACAAGCTGCCCTTTCTGTGTCTATTAAATTGGCAAAGACTATTACATTATAGGTGAGGGAGTATTAAATGCACACTTTTCTTATACTGCGTGTGGGAATATAAATTGATAAAAACCTTCTGACGGGCACTTTGTCAATGAATATGAAGAAATTGAAAAAATTTCATAACTTTTCATATAGCTATTTCACTTCTGGAATTTTATCCTATTCTAAAAAAATATCAGAGATATAGAAAGATGTTAATCACAGCATCAATTGTGGCACATCTATATAATGGAGCAACATGCAGTCACTAAGATGTAATGCTTTCAAATACTTAAGAAATTAAACTATGAGGACATCAGCAAAATAGATGATGAGTAAGCAGCTCCAAGATCCCATCCCTCCATTAGAAACATTGAAAAACAAGCAGAAACTGTAAGAACCAACTTTGTCAGAACTTTGAAAAATAGACAAAGGTTTACAGCATCCAAACAAATGCTGAATCAAGAAAAAGGCAACTTGAAAATATTAGGAAAGCTCTGTGCTTTTTTACCTGCCATTGCCTCCCTCCCCCCAGTTCAGTTACAAATGTGAAGATGGTAGCACACATATCAGGTGGGAGACCCTGGTTCCTTATTACAGAGAGGGAAGAGCAGACTTTATCCACAAATTATTCTGCATGTCTGTTCTAAATTGTCTGGGGACTCCTGAAGCCCTGGTGCAAGGTGCTCATCTCTGTTTCACCTAATGCAAAACTTACTTGGGGTGGGAAAGCAGCATGCACTGCTCCAAAGCATTGCAAGGTTAACAAACTACCTGCAGTCACGGAGGCAAAAGATGACACATAAAATAAATGCCTAAAGCCTGGAAAGAAAAGCTAAAGTTTCTTTGGGAGATTGTGGTATTCACCATCACCTGTGCGTACTGGGGGAATATGGAAAGCCATGTACATGACCAGGACAAGACACATGCTCAGAAATGACCAGAAAACCCCTATGCTTTCAGCTCTGGATGATCTCTAGACTCAACACAAGCTTGGCTAAGTGTTGAAGTGCCGGGCACAGAACCAATCTGCAAAGATTGGGGGAGGTATTTCTTCGTTCATATTTTTTAAACTGACAGAGTTCAAGGAAATCTCTGTCAAAACACTACCTGAGCCTGGCTGGCATGGATCAGTTGTTGAGCACTGACCTATGAACCAGAAGGTCAGGAGTTTGACTCCCGGTCAGGGCTCATGATCAAATTGCGGGCTGGATCCCAGTGTGGGGGGCATGCAGGAGGCAGCCAATCAATGATCAATGATTCTCTCTCATCATTGATGTTTCTATCTCTCTCTCCTTCTCCCTTCCTCTCGAATTCGTGCACAGCTGTGACCCCATCAGGGGTGGGGCCAGCTGAAGGGAGGGGCTGCAGGAGGGTTCCAGGGCGTGTCCGGCCCATCTTGCTCAGTCCCAATCGGCCAGACCCCAGCAGCAAGCTAAACTTCCGGTTGGAGCATCTGCCCCCTAGTGGTCAGTGCACATCATAGCGATTGGTCGACTGCCCCCTGGTGGTCAGTGCACATCATAGTGAGTGGTTGAGCAGCCTTAGCATATCATTAGCAAATTATGCTTTGATTGGTTGAACAGATGACTGGATGACCAGACACTAAGCATATTAGGCTTTTATTATCCTATATAATAAAAGGCTAATATACAAATTGACTGAATGGTGGAATGACTGGTCGCTATGATGTGCACTGACCACCAGGGGGAGTGCCGCTCAGCCAGAAGCCAGGCTCACAGCTGGTGAGCGTAGCAGCAGTGGTGGGAGCCTCTCCCACCTCCGTGGCAGCACTAACAATGTCTGAGGCCAGGGAGCGGGCCTAAGCCATCAGTTGGACATCCCCCAAGGGCTCCTGGACTGCAAGAGGGCACAGGCCAGGCTGAGGGACCCCCTCCCCCACCTGAGTGCACGAATTTCATGCACCGGGCCTCTAGTATAGGATATATATAAAATAGAAAAACCCTGGAGATGCTTGTTATCATAGAAGAAATGAGAATTGTTTTCAAATATCTGAAAGACTGTCCTGGGGAGGAATTCAGACTATGCTGTGCCTCCCCAAATGGCAGAACTGTGATGGGGAAACTTACAAAGAGATAGATTTGGCCTGATGTGAAGAGAACTCTGTTAACGATAAGGACTGTCCAAGAGTGTTCTTTCAATAGATTTAGCAAGTGTTTAATGAACTCCTCTGCTAAGTCAGGCTCTATTAGAAGTACTGGGAAGACAGCAGTGATCAAGACAGACAAGGTGCTACTCTCATGAAGTGCACACTCTGGGTGAGGGGAGGCAGGAAAAACAAATAAAACAGATAAATATCATACTTTCCGATTGTGACAAGTACTGTGAAAAAATAAAGCAGAATTGTGTGCTACAGAATAACTGGCTTGGTCATTGTTTAAAGTGATCTTTATGACGTGGTGACATTTGAGCTAAAATCTGAGTAATAAAGGAAAGTCAAAGTCACATGAGGATCTAAAGAGAAAGTAGTTTGGGCAAAGGAAATAGCAAAATCAAAGGTGCGGAGATGACCACAACTTGGCAATGCTCAAGAGACAGAAAGACTGGGGTGCCTGGAACAGTATACAAGTAGCAATGTGGTTAGACATAAAGTCGGAGAAGTGGGCAAAAATAAATTATGGAAGACTTTGCCCTTAGTGGAAATGAGAAGCCACTTGAGCATTGTAAGCAAGAATATGACAACAATATTTAAATTAAAAAAGAAACTAGCACTCTCATCGCTGTTTGAAAGGTAAATGGAAGTGAGGGGAGGGCAATAAGAGTGGAAGCAAGACAGTTGTATGGTTATTGCAGTGATCTACAGGAGAAGTGACAATGATTTGTGACAGTGGCTATGATAGAGATGGAGAGAAGGGATATAGAATATTTTTTGGAGGTAGAGTCAATAGGAATTTCATATGTATTGTATGTGAAGGCTAAAAAAAAAGAAAGAGAGAAATTAAGGATAATTCCAGATCTTTGAATAACTAGGTAGATTAATGATGCTATTTTAAGGAATTTTATTTGTGTGTGTTTTTTTCACTGACATATTTCAAGTGCCAATATCAATTAATGTTGACCAAGAACAGCAAGGCAAACAAAAGCTGTATTTGAGGCCTTAGGAAATGAAATTTATGGCACACAGATTTGGGTAGAAACCTGATTGTGTGCCAAGGGAAAGACAGAAAAATGTGGGGTTTCCAAAGGAGTTATACAAGCTGTTTTGAGAGAGTTGTGACTGGTGCTGGCAGGCAGACTTGCGCTATGCTATACATGATTAATTGTTTCTAGGTGAAATTGTTATTTCTTAATAGAGAGTTCAGTGATGCAGAGCCAATTCAGGATGTAGCCATTTGTAGTTTAGCTCAGTTCAAAAGTTCACTTTCACATGGAGGGAGGTGAGTTAGCTCCGCTTCCTAGAGGCCTCCCTGTTCCATTTTGCATTGCTCTCTTGACAATATTTACTGCTTTTTTTTTACACCTATTTCAGGAAGTAGTACAGACTAAATAGTAAATACTTAATGGTTTTGTTAGCTGTAAGATCTGATAGAATAAAGAGTTCTATTTGGGCATGCTAGGCCTACATTCTGTTAAATATCCAACATTAGGTGCTGAGTAGCTACATTTCCAGAGCTCAGGACAGACATCAAGGCAAGGGATGTAAATTTGGGCTATATCAGCATGTATAGTCATAGGATTGGTTGAATTCACTTAGGCAGACAGTGTAGATTGAAAAGACAAAAGAACCCAAGAACATTGGAATGAAGACTTATAACATTTCAAAAGTTAGAAGACAGGTAATGAAGCAGAGGTCAGCAAAAGAAATGGGAAAACTGTCTTCACCAAAGTGATAGATAATCCAGGAGTGTGTGGTATCACAGATCCAAGAGAAGAAAACTTCTGCTTAAGGAGTGTGCTGTTGAGAGATTCAAGTACAATCAGGAAAGAGAAGTGGCCATTGCCGTCAACGGAAGTCACTGGTAGACTTGACAAGAGCAGCATCAGTAAGGTGGCTGCTGAAGCAATGATGGTAGTTCTCTCCCCCTGAACACGTTCTCCAAAAACAGTCTTTGAACAAGTTTTTAAAATAAGTTGGCATGATGGTTGTTAAGATTGTGATGAGAAGATATAAGAAGAAATAGTGTGGAAGCAAGACCCTGAGGCGTGTAAAGAGACAATGGGAGACTTGTACCTTTTCATGCATCAGTAGCATGCATCCTCCCAGCCAGTGGTGGCTGGAGCTGGCTCACCAAGGCCAATTTCTGCTAAAGTTGCAAGCCAATTATTAAACCCAGCCATTATAAAAAATAAGGGATGTAAACTTACAATTAAATAAATATATGAAAAACAAAGATAGCCCTAACCGGTTTGGCTCAGTGGATAGAGCGTCGGCCTGCGGACTGAAGGGTCCCAGGTTCGATTCCGGTCAAGGGCATGTACCTTGGTTGCGGGCACATCCCCAGTAGGGGATGTGCAGGAGGCAGCTGGTTGATGTTTCTCTCTCATCGATGTTTCTAACTCTCTATCCCTCTCCCTTCCTCTCTGTAAAAAAATCAATAAAATATATTTTTTTAAAAAACACAAAGATAATGAACACTCAAAACTGATAACTTTTAAATTATTTTATATTTTAGAATTATCTATGTTCTTGAAGTTAATAATGGAGAGTACACTTAAAAGTGTGTCATGTCTGTAGTCATTACATCATGAACAAATTTTTTCTTTTTTTTACCGAGGAAATATTCTTCCAGCATTCAAAAACCATTATCTAATTCAGAAATAAGTTGTTTGCATCACTGATGGATGGCTAAAATTTCAACATAAGTTTTTGTTGTTTTGTCATTCAGGGAAAGAAAAATGTCAAGAAAGTTTTATGTGAAAACTAATTCAGTCATCAATAGCTTAGGTTGACTATGGATACAAGAATTTGGTAAAACTCAGTGAAAGCATTTTGTGAGAATTAATTGACAGACTGGAATTTACAAGAAAGACATTGTATATTTGATTATTACTTGAAAATTGTTCACCACACATTTTTCTTTTCAGTAAAGTTTATGATAAATTTATGTGCGTATATGTAAAATCATATTTTGGGGGGGAAAGCCATTTGTTAAACATTTGCCAACCTACCACTCTATCCCCTCCCAAACATCAGCACAGACCAAGCATCCAAATTCATGTCCTTAAGTGTTAGAATCTGGCTGATTGAAATTATAGAATTAGAGATGGCAAGTGGAGAATGTGGGCATACACAACTAATTGGGAAGTTTTACAATAAGGGGGACAGCAGATAGTGGTGGATTTTCGTCAATGAAGAGTTTTACTTTTACAATAAGGGGGACAGCAGATAGTGGTGGATTTTTGTCAATGAAGAGTTTTATTTATTTTTTAAATATTTTTTATTGATTTCAGAGAGAGGAAGGGAGAAGGGGAGAGAGATAGAAACATCAATGATGAGAGAGAATCATTGATCGGCTGCCTCCTGCACACCCCCTACTGGGGATTGAGCCCAAAACCTGGGCATGTGCCCTGACCAGGAATTGAACCATAACCTCCTGGTTCTTGGGGCAATGCTCAACAACTGAACCACGCCTGCTGGGCAAGGAAGAACTTTTAAAGAAAGAAGGTATAGAAATATATTTATATGCTGATGGGAATGATCCAGTAGCCCAGAGAAAAGATGACCATGATGGAGGAAGGGATTATTACATGAACAAAGTTCTTAAGAAGGTAAGGGGAGGTAGGATTTAAAGTACAAGTGGGGCTGTTGGCATTTATATGAAACAGAGAGGAAAGCAGAGAATTTGGAAAAGATGATTGTTAGTGCTTGGGTAGGAAGAAAATCCCATAGCAGGGAAATTGTAAAGACATTCATTTATTAGTTAGAAGGTGGGAGTGGGAGTGGCTTAATGGCAAGAGGACTTTTCTCTGTTCTAGATCTTGTGAAGCTAGGATTTGGAGATGAAAAACATACAAGATATATGTTAAGCACATTTCACTTATAACTATACCTACTAGTAAAAGCACACCAAAGCCAGCATTTTTGATTTTCAAGGTGTTGTTTTTGTTTGTTTTTTAATATTTCGTGACCTTTATGGACGCTCCATCTTTTGTGAAAAATAGCAAAATGACTAGCCAGCTTTTCCTTTGCTAGCACTTTTTTCAGCACTCAAAAATGAGAATTCCTTCCTCTTTCCCTCTCTGTATACACCTTTGGGAATAAGTCAAACATCACATCTGCTGCAGCTGCTGCCCTCCCCTCCTGGGGGGCCTTCTGGGGAGCACCTCTGGGAAGAAAGATTTAAAAACTTCTTACTTGTTGCACCAATAAGAGTTGTAATGGCCAGATCCTGGAACAGAAACTGGTAATTTGACAGGCTGTTGGTCTCCTGAAAATAAAAAGGAAAACAGCTCAAAAGAGTTGTGACCTTCTGGATGAAGTTTGACATCAATTTCATTCACTTTCTCATGGCAATTTAGGATTGTCAAGTAAATTACTTAGAAGATGGTGTGGTCAGAGGCCTGTTTATGTTGGTGGGAGTGCCAAAGGCAAGGCTGTGAAATCCTGTCCAACCAGGAGGCCCCGATCATGTGCATTCTGGGCTGGGTCCTTTGTGCATCACTATCTCCCCTTGCTGAGGGGACTAGCTCACTCTCCCAGATTCATCTCTGCTCTCTTCTCTACTTGTTAGCAGAAAAGTTGGGGTGTCATCTGACACTAAAAGAGTGCATTCCCAATAGTAACAAATGACAAATGTGTGGTGATCTTACCTAAATTTTACTGATGGAAAATGACAACTGAACCAACTATTTGCTTTCTTGGATGTTGATAGAAAGTCCCTGATAAAGCACCTTGATGTTCTTTATGTCTTACATATTTCAAGTAACTTACCCCTTGGTGGAAAGGCCATAATGATGACCTATGTTTAACTCTAGTTTTGAGCAAGAGTTATTGTGATTTAAAAATAGAATCAAATATCTACAAATAACTTCTTCTCCAGTTCATTCATTAGTGAGTGGGAAAAGACATAGGTATTCCAAAGGTAACAGAGCTAAAACTTTCAAACCAGGAGCGAGAGGGCAAGACATAGAGATAAATCTAGATATCTCCAGCACAAACAGAGTTCCCTTTCTCTATGATAGCTAATATAAGAAGCCCCCACATGTTGAGTCCACAAGCAGTAGTCATGGATATTCTCCTTTTATGTTCGGTTAAATAGTAAAAGCCCTCCCAAGACCTATGTGTGTTTTTTTGTGGTACAATATGTCAATTTTTAAGTCCCTATGTGCAGAGAGTCAGTAATGTGCTGGCTTGTACTAGCTCATAAGAGTCTATTGCTAGATTTTTACAAATTGTGTGACCTGGCTATTAAACACAGCCTATATAAAATCTTAAATCAGGGGTCCTCAAATTTTTTAAACAGGGGGCCAGTTCACTGTCCCTCAGACCGTTGGAGGGCCGGACTATAGTTTAAAAAAAACTATGAACAAATTCCTATGCACACTGCACATATCTTATTTTGAAGTAAAAAAACAAAACAGGAACAAATACAATATTTGTATTTGCATGTGGCCTGAAGGCCATAGTTTGAGGACCCCTGTAATAATACAAATTTACTATTAAATAAATTATAATGAAAACAGAGGCAATAAGTACTCAAAACTTGGTACTTCCCAATCATTTTCCTATACTTTACTGTTATCTATGTTCTTGAGATTATTTGTAACTCTTGTATCTATATGGTGCAAGTACTACATAAAGTATGCTATTGTACGTGTCTCCCCAACTCCATGTTCAGCTGGATCACTTGACTCCAGCCATGGTGGGAGTATTTACACCACTAAAATTGGCAAACATTGATAAGCAGGCCTTATTTTTCCAGGGAGAGTCAGTTTTGAAACAGTCCAGCACCCAATCAGAGAATCATCTCTTTAATGAGTGGTATGCAAGAGGTCAGCCACATTGGACTGGAAAGATAGAGGCCTGGTCTAAGCAGGTGAAAGCAACAGCAAGAGAGAAAGTGATGTGTTCCTTTCTGATCCTCAACTACCACTAGATAATTCTCTCTCAGAGAACTCACACCAACAACTTTTCCTGTGTGCATGTATCTATTTCTGATTTATTTTCAAAACATGAACGATCATTTTTAGAGGGGCTGTTAGTGCTCCAATCTCCTATTTGCACTTTAAGAGGCATTGCGTGTTGAGAGTGCACCACCCCTTGTCCCAGTTCTCACTAACCAAGAGGCTAGGTCCCAAGTCATACCCAGTAGAGCAGCAGAACACCAACATACTGAATTATGCTGTACAGAGCCATGTACTTAAACATGCAAAATGAGGTAACGAAGGCAGCACGTCCTTCCCTGTGTGAGAAAAGAAATGAGAAAGTAATGAAAGTGATGAAACAAAATGAGGTCAGTTATTCTGTGCTGTTCAGCTAAGCTCAGGAGAAAGGATCAAAAGTCTGATTAACTCCATTGTGTGCCTGACAGACGGGACAGCCTCAAGCCAGTGGGAGCGGCTGTCAGCGAGCTAAATGACTACATTTTCAGGAAAGGCCAATTCCACTGCAAGGTCCACGGGCCTCGATCCAACCAGGGAGCCAGATTTAGAGCTACTCTTATCCTTTCTGCAGACATTATTTTAGCTCAGAGTCTGGGGACTTGGGCTGGTCCCAGATCTCATACCTACTCACTAATGTGATTTGGAAGGTCATTTCCCTTCTCTGGGTCACAGTTTCTTCATCTGTGAACCAAGGACTATAAGTAACATTGCAGGTTTGGGGGCTAGTTTCATGCAGGTGCTTCAGGAGTTTGCCCAAATATTTCATTCAAATTTCATTTGTGAGTCCCAACTTCTTCTAAAACTGGACTAAAATAATATACACATTCAAATTAGTCCTGTATCACATTTAAATAGAAACAATGAGTTTGTTCATTTTTGTTACTATTGTTTTTCTGAGGGTAAAGGGTATATATATATATATAAAAGCATAAAATAAATTACTTGTAAAATGCCACTTTTATTTCTTTCATTTGGGAAAAAAATAGAGTGTAAATTTACTTCTGGTTGTAATGGTTTCCTGGGATTCCAAAGCCTTATCCTCACCCGCAGCTTTTTCCTGTACCAGGGCTTTGCTGCTGCCATTCGCTCTGCCTAGAAGACGGTTTCTCCCGTTCCTCAGCTCCTTAGAAAGGCTTTCCCACACCACCTCACCTGGCACAGCCAATTCCGCCTCCCTGGTCATCTTCCTACCTTTCACATTGGCCCTGATTTATCTGTGCATGTGTTTATTGCCTGACTTCTTCACTGGAGGAAAACGTCATGCGATGGAGGGACGTTTGATTTACTCGCTTCTGCCTCCAACTGTTCCTGGCACTAAGTGTCTACATTATAAATGTTTGTTGAACAGATGAATAAATAAAGAAATAAAAATGGGAAGGAGCTAGCCAAATCATCATTTTAATATGGGGAAAGGAGTATGGCATTTGTAGATAAAACACATTTAAACAAAATTAATTCTAATACCATCTCCAAACCTATATGGCTGTGTCAGCTTGGGTAGTTCTCTGAGCCTCAATTTCTTTCTTTCCTTTTTTTTAAAATTTTTACTTTTCAAATTTTTTTTTATTGTTGCCACTATTACACATGTCCTTATGTTTCCCCTCCCCCTTTGCCTGCCTCAATCCAGCCCCCTCCCATAGCCTCAATTTTTTTATTTGTAGAAGAAATAGTGACCATTCCTACATCTCCAGGTTTTTTGACGTGTAATAAAACAGGCATTAAAACACTTTATAAACACACTAGAGGCCTGATGCACAAAATTTGTGCAAGGGGCTCGGTCCTCGCAGCCGCGACGGCTTGCCTTGGCCCTCGCAGCCCCGGATTCGTTTGGAAGGTCATCTGGTCTAATTAGCATATTATGCTTTTATTATTATAGATACTAGTTATAATAACCCAAAGCAGCCACAGTACTAACTACCTCTGTCATTTAAAGAATGTACCAGAAGTATATATTCGAGGGCGTGGTGGAGATAAAGCACCAAGGGAAATTTTAGTAGAAGCAGCCAAAATAAATATTTTGGAAACCAGAGACAGGAAGGATATCCCAAGGCAGCATAAAGAGGCAAGAGGAAGGAAAGAAAATGGGGAGAGAAAATTTCTCTCAATTCCTCATTATCAAGCATCTAAGAAGATACATTTAAATAATAATCATCATCATAATAATATGATCAACACTGTCAAAGCAGTAACAAGTGCCAGATTCCAACTTTCTAAAAGTAACCTACTCAGTGATTTTTATTAGAAATGCTACTGCTCTCCCAGGGTTATTTTCACTCCGGGGAAGTCCACTGGGAAGTAGAATGTTTGACCGCATTCTCCTGCAAAGCTCCTCCCCACCCAAAGATGCAAAGTTTCTCTGGTCTTTGACTTGCAGAACAATGGAATCTGATAAGTCAGTCAGAGAAAGACAGATACCGTATAATTTCACTGGTATGTGGGATCTAAAGAACAATATAAATGAACAAACAAAACAGAAACAGACTCACAGATACAAAGAATAGACTGATGGTTGCCAGAGGAGAGGGGCGTAGGGACTGGGTGAAAAAGGTAAAAGGACTAAGAAGTATAGATTGGTAGTTACAGAATAGTCATGGGATGTAAAGCAAAGGGAATATAGTTGATAATATGATGCCAGTTGGGTACCGGAAACATCAGAGGAAACACTTCATAAAGTGATTGTCTGACCACTATGCTGCACATCTGAAACTAATACAAAATAACATTGAAAGTCAACTGTAATTGAAAAAAAAAACAATTTAAATAAATAAATGATAAAATAAAATAAAAAGAACAGTGGGATCTGTACCTAGAAGGCAGGAGAGATTAAAACAATGTTGGTGTATAGTGCTTACTTACTTGATCAGTTGAGGTACACACGCAATGTTTGGAGTTTTGGAAGTGAAAGGTGAGGCCACAGATGCCTCGTGCTCTGATAAAGAGATGCCCACGTGAGCCATTTTCAAAGCCTGAAAGCAAAGAGTTAGCTTACGGTGCGTGCACACTCACATACATCTCTCCTGAGGCCTCATAAGAAAGGGGCCAGTTAACCTGTCCACAAGGTGGCTTGTGGGCCCAAACACTAGCTAGGAGATGACACCAGACTTTGATCTGCCTGCCACATAAGAAAGAGATGGCACTGGGCCACCCAGTAAAAGAAGTGGGAACTTCAGAACCAAATCCTACCCCATTTAGTCTATAATGACCACTGAGTTATTATGTAGCTTTGGCCAAAACTCTCCCAAATGATCAGCATCAGTTTCTTCAACAAGAGGAGTGGAGAGAGTGTATATCCCAGAAAATACTATCTCTGCAGGGCTCTGGGCAAGTACAATCCAGTGTGAGACTGTGGTCCCAGACACTGGCAACAACTTACCCCACAGTCATTGGCTCCATCGCCGCACATACCTACAAAGTAACTAAAGGCGAACCATGTCAATTGTGGAATACATCAAAGCAATCATAAATGATAATTTCTCTAATTAAAAAGATAAAATGAGCTTCATTGCTTAGTGTTTAAACTTATTATTTTAATGGAGTTTCCCTGATAGTCTGGTTTGACTAAAAAGTAAAATTTGACTCAGCAGTTCCTACAATGGATAAGAAATCCAGGACATCATTCCTGACTCCAAGCACATTCAGGAATGATGCACGTTACTGTTTAGGAAGCAGCTTTGTCAACTGCAAAACAGGATGCTCACAATTATATGTAAGACAGCATGGCATGGTGGAGAGGGCACAGGGTGTGAAGCCGCAAGATCTAGATTGTTGACCTGATCACTTTACTGTTTAGACTAGCATATTTCTCCCCTGCACAGTGTTAAGAGTATTCAGTGAGGTGCAATATGGGAAAGTGCCTTATAAATTCTGAAATCATAAATAAAACTTACTTGTTTGTGCTGTTAATAGTACACAAGGAAAAAATCTGCCATGTTAGCAGTCACGCAACAAAAACTTCAGTGCCGGGCCCAGAAGTTGAAGAAATACATCCCTTCCTCAGGGCGGCTTTTTGAGGCTGAGTGAATACTACTCTGTTAAATTGTTGGCAAAGATTATGGATAGTCTGCTTTTTAAGGAAAGAGCACTCTGAATGCATTTAAAGAACTTGCTGTGCTTCTTTTCACACATTGCTCTATAAAGGCAACTAGTTTACTGTCTAAGTTTTCAACCATGTTGAGAAGACAGAGCGTTCTGAATGGAGATGCTTGCCTAGTGACTTAATCAAGTGAGTAGCAGGATGGAGCTGCAGTGAGTAGAGGTAGGAGTCATATCTATGTGGTCCAGCACCAGAAGTAGAGGAAACCTTCAGGACTCTATGAGTTTCATTTACCAAAACATAAGGAAAGAAAGAAAAGAGAAAGAAAGAAAGAAAGAAAGAAAGAAAGAAAGAAAGAAAGAAAGAAAGAAAGAAAGAAAGAGAGGAAAGAAGGGTCCCAAACGATGGGCACTTTACTTGGACTGCCCATTCTATCAATGGAGACCTTTTGTGTTGGAAGATAAATCATTTTTCTGATTTAGGATGAAGAGGATGCTTTGGCATAGATTGTTTTAATATTGTGAAGGTTATGTGAATCTCTCATCATGTAAATCTTCCTATATCATAACTGTGATAAAAATGGTAAAAATGAAGTCTAAATTTCCCTGTCCCTTTGGGAGCTGAGCACACATTACCTTTCCAGGCTTGTTTCTCGCCTTACCTTTTCATGACATTTATGGTCTAGTCCAGTGATGGCGAACCTATGACACGCGTGTCAGAGGTGACACGCGAACTCAATTTTTTGGTTGATTTTTCTTTGTTAAATGGCATTTAAATATATAAAATAAATATCAAAAATATAAATCTTTGTTTTACTACGGTTGCAAATATCAAAAAATTTCTATATGTGACACGGCACCAGAGTTAAGTTAGGGTTTTTCAAAATGCTGACACGCCGAGCTCAAAAGGTTCGCCATCACTGGTCTAGTCAGTGCTTCTCAAGTCTGGATGAAAAATTGGCTTATGTGAGGAGTTTTGAAAAAATACTGATGTCCAAGCACCATGTGAGCAAATGAATCAGAATTGTTATTTTTCCAAAGCTCCCAAGGTGACTAACGTGTGCGGCCAGGTTAAGAACCACTGTCCTCGCCAAACAGAGTGACTTCCGGTGCCTCTTCCTCTTCCCCTGACTGCCATGGCCCTTGCACTTCACACCTGAATAGGAAAAGAACCTACTCCAGTTTCTGAAATTCTTCCACCAGACTGGATTTCTGCCCAGGAGACATTCTTGCAAAGATAGTCCCATTCATCAGTATCTGCAAGGAACCCAAAAGAGAAATAGTTTTTATGTCAGCTGGTCATACATGAAATAATTAATAACACTCATAACACTGACAGGGTAAAGAAAAAAAGTATTGTTTTCCAAGAAGTCTTCCTTTGGATTTTACAATAGGCATTGGGACATAGGTCATCAGATAGGTGATCAGGAAGGCCAAAATCAATAAAGATGACTACTTCATAAAAATATTTGGTGAACATGATGACCTATACTAATTTAACTCAGCTGCCATAGAGAATGTGGTCCTGAAAAATCCTGATCTTATGGAACCTTAAGCCAATAGAACATGAGAAATTGTAAGAATCTCAGGAAAAGAAAATGAGGCAACTACCTCTCAGAAATTTGTTCAGAATTAGCAGAAAAAATCACCTACTGATGAAATAGTAAAGTAACTATCTGTGGTCTTTGATTTACCATACCATCTGGGCTTGATCAGTTGTAAAATTCAGCTGATACCCCAAGCCTAATTTAGACTATGGGACATGGATGGTTTGGTAATATAAGAACCTCTACCAGCCCCTCCACCTGAGCTCCATTCTATAGAATCTAAATTTCTCTGTGTTAGAGCTGCCTGCCCCCTGCTCTCCCTGGCAGTAAACTCGGTTTAGTGTTTACTAAGCCTCAAAGTCTTTTTTTTTTCTTAAGCAGTGCTTAAGATGGTGAGTAATTGAATACAAATAATCATCTGCCCCCACTACGGGTTCATTCTTCATCAGAAAAGTTGTTAAATTTGACTCTTTTCTGTGTAGAGGTCCTCCATGAAAAATCTACCGAAATTCCTCTATTCAAGCCTGTCTTCTTGTATAATTGCAGAATTTCCACTATACTGTGAGACTCCTAACCATGGCAATATAATGACAGCTACCCAAAAGCAATCCTGATGACTTGAGAAGTCACTAGTTTAATCCTATAAATTATTGATTTTCAACCTTTTTCATCTCATGGCACACATCGATGATAAGACAGAAACATAATTCGGCTGCCTCCTGCACGCCCCCTACTGGGGATTGTGCCCAGGCCTGTGCCCTGACAGAATTGAACTGGAGACTTCTTGGTGCATTGAACAATGCTCAATCAACTGAGCCACACTGGCCAGGCAAGTTTACTTATTTTAAATCTAGTAGGATAAGAGACAACAGTAACCTCTGTAAAACTATCTGCCTCTTTCATGAGTCGTTCAATAGGGATATCTTACCTATTTAGAGGTGTGAAATTACTGAGGATCATGCTCTGTAAATGACATTGTCAGCATCTTTACCAGGAAATTAGTACCCTCTGAGAACTGACCTTTGGCAATAGGCTGCTGAAATGTTGACTTATAACCTGAAAGGATTTTCCACTTAGGGCAAAATGGTAACTTTCTTCTCTGCTATTTTCAGAGACTTCTTCCCTGATGTTAATGTAATTGTCCTGCAAAGCCAGACACAGTTATTTCAGACTTGGTAGAGTGGATAGGAACCACAGCATCTCTGAGAGAAGACAACTATTGGCAGTCCGGGGTCTCTCTGTAAAAGTCAAACTCCAGTCCTGATTCCTCAGAGAAGCACTTTCTCTTTGCTAGATCAATCTTTGCACATCACAGGCTCTATAGTAAATAGGAGAATAACACTTACTCATGTCCTGTTCTCATCCTGATTTGATCTCGGTGAGTCCCAGAGAAGAGCACATTTCACACATTTCAAGTGTAAAATACAAAAGCACTGTAGCTTAACAAATCTCTCCCTGAAGTGAGAACTTACAGGTTTTTTTTTTCTTAAAGAATTAATATTGTTCCACAAGGACACAATAGAAATAGGATACTGACAAGATTGGAGATAAATGAATAACACTTCTTCCCTACCCTGAAGATACAGTCTAATTTTCCATTTCACACAGTGGTATCTCTCCTAGGGATTACATCCCCTTTGAACTCAACAGGGTGGCTGGCAAGCATGGCAAAAACGGGAAGTTGGAGTCAGAGCCCCCTTACTATATTCTTTCTCATACAGAGACAAAAACTTTTTAAGTTTAAAAGAATGGATTCTTTCCAGCACCCATGAATGCACTGTACCTTAAAGCTCAGTTGGAAGGATATGGGAAACTGATATAATTGAGCACTTCACACTGCATGTGTGAAGATTTGGAGAAGTATGTTGACCCTAGGTCACCTGTACACCTCTGCCAGTCAAAGCTGCTCAGTTACCCACACTGTGAAGCAAGTTAGATAATATGGCTGAAAGTCTGTTTTTAAGAATACCTGATTCCCATATGCAGTGGGCTTCTTCTCTTCTACTAATTTCCAAGATATGGATGCTGATGAGGACCCAGTACTTTCACTCGCTTCAATGAGAATGACTTTCTGGCCTTCGGAAACCATTCCAGAATTTCTGGCCACTGTTATTGCAGTCTGAAGATTGTCACCTAGAAGAAAGGAAGACCATCCTAACATGAGGTTGAAGAGATAGGACAAATTCTTAGAGGGCCTGGAAAACTAGGATAAGGAGTCAAGTCTTGATTATAGGTGTGAAGAGACATAACCTCTAAGGCAGCGGTTCTCAACCTATGGGTCGCGACCCCTTTGGCGGTCGAACGACCCTTTCACAGGGGTCGCCTAAGACCATCCTGCATATCAGATATTTACATTACGATTCATAACAGTAGCAACATTACAGTTATGAAGTAGCAACGAAAATAATTTTATGGTTGGGTCACAACATGAGGAACTGTATTTAAAGGGCCAGAAGGTTGAGAACCACTGCTCTAAGGTCTCCCTCAGCCCTGACCTTCCTTGATTTCATGGTTGCTTTTCTGGTTCTTGCTGCTTTTTATCTGGTTACTTCATATATTTTTGTAATAGAGTAAGAAATTCTAATTTACTTCTGTCATTTTTTAACAGCTTGGTAAACATTTAGTAAGAATCTACTGACAACAATGGAAAACTGAGAAAAAATACAAAGAGCAACTACCCAAGGACCTTGAAAGTAAACATAAGCAGGTAGAATATGAAAGAGAGTCAAATTTGGAGAAACAATCTACCAGGTACTAAGATTCTCAGCTTTTTTTCTTTTTCCTTTCACATATTTAACCCTAGAGCTGTGCAGGTAGCAAAATATCTGAGAAACTAGCCTCTCTGGCCAGAAGAACTAGGAAAAGGGGTGCCTGGGGCTGGAGAGTTATGAGGGAAATCCCGGAAAAGAAAGTCCTAGATAAGGAGACAAATTCAGTATGTGAACTATGTAAGTCCCCAGCCCAACTCAGAGCTGTGCACATGCAGAACAAACCCAAAGAAGAATAACAAAGGCAATATTAATCATCTCCAATATTTCTGAGTTTTTCTTGCCAAACCCAAAATCATTTTTCAGAGAATTTTAACAGTATCCAAAATCTCAAAAAATCATATTTGGAATATTTAGGATACTCAATATACAAAAAAACCTGAAAGTCTGGCCAATTCTCAAGAAAAGGTAATCAACAATTGCCTGTCCCAAAATAACCCAGTTGTTGTAACTATTACACTGGTTTTAAAGGAGCTATTGTAAGCCTCCTCCACATTAATCCTCTTAAAATAAATGACAAGATAGAAGTCCTCAACAGAAAGAAGTATCTCTATTTATAAAAGCCTAAGCAACCGAATGACCAAATGACCGATTGCTGTGACACACACTGACCACCAGGGGACAGACACTCAACACACAGGATCGGGCTCCCTGCTGTCTAGATCGGGCCTGTGGGGATTGGACCAAAACTGGCTATCTGACATCCCTGAGGGGTCCTGGATTGCGAGAGGGTGCAGGTCAGGCTGAGGGACCCCCACCGGCACGAATCTATGCACCAGGCCTCTAGTATATTCTATAAAAAAGAACCAAGTAGCTACTTTAGAACTAAACAATATAATAACTGAAATTTTAAACATTCACTGTATGCACTCAACAATAGAATGGCAATGAGGAAAAGAGTCAATGAATTTGAATATAGAACCATATAAATTATACAATTTGAAGAACAGAGAGAAAAATCTTAAAATAAAATAAAAGAGATTGAAAAAATATTAAGAAGACTCACATTTTTGTCATTAAAGTCCTCCAAAAAGAGGAGAAAGAAACTGGAATAGGAAAATTATTTTTGAAAAAATAATAGCAGAAAACTTCCTAATGTGTTTACAAATTTAAATTCACAGATTCAAGAAGCTCAGTGAACAACTCAGTGAGAACCACATCCAGACACATAATCAAACTGCTGAAAACAAAAGATAAAGAAAATGTCTTAGAAGCAGCTAGGAAAAGAAAACCAATACAGTATATATAAAAAAATATGAGTCTAATGAAAATTATCACAGATTTCTGATTAAAAACTATGGAGGCAGGATGACAGTAGAATGACATCTTTAAAGTACAGAAAGAAAAAAAACTATAAGCTCAGACTCCTTTAGCTAATGAAAATATCCTTTAGGAATAAAGTAAAAATAAAGACATTAAATAAAGAGAAACTAAGATAATTTTTGCTAGAGAACATGCTCAAAACGAAATGCTAAACGAAATTCTTTTAATTTTTAAATGTTTTTATTGATTTCAGAGAGAGGAATGGAGATGGAGAGATATAACATCAATGATGAAAGAGAATCATTGATCAGCTGTCTCCTGCATGCCCCCCACTGGGTATCGAGCCCACAACCTGGGCATGTGTCCTGACTGGGAATCAAACCGTGACTTCTAGGTTCATGGGTGGACACTCAACCACTGAGCCACACCAACTTGGCTAAAAGAAAGTCTCTAAACTAAAAAGAAATGATACTTAGAATATGAAGAATAAAAACATAGCAACAGAAATAATAAAATTTGGGGTAAATATAAGTCTATTTTTCTTCATTTATGTTCTTTAATTCTTGACTGTTGAAAGTAAAAAATGTAACATTGCCTGGTGGAGTTTTCATTGTCATATACATGACAACTATAAAGGAACGAAGGTAAAGAACACTTCTGGTTGTAAGGCTTCTTGAAAGGGTAGGTACAGATATTGTCATTTTTAGAGCTACTGAACAATAAATAATATAAGATCTGGATCGCTATCCTTAACACAGGTTTCTACCAAAACTTTATGAGGATCCTCAAAAGTCTAAGTGGTGGGAAGGAGATGCTGTACCCTCAGGTTGAGAGCTAAGAGGTTTCCTCTACCTGCCTCGGCAGGACATCAGCAGCTGTTCTGCTTTGCAATGCAAGCCCCTTTTGCATCTACCAGCCACTGGAATTCTACTGTTTAGAATATGCAACCGAGGCCTGAGTCTCAGACATTTGACAAAGCTACATAACAACCTATTTATGAAACCCCAGCAGCTAAATAAGAAAAGATAAGGAGAAACAGTCAGAATACATGATTGGTAAAGTAGAGTAGCTGCAGGAGACAGATTAAAACTGCACTAAAAAATATAAATTTTAAAAAGTTTAAAACCACTCACAAAACATGATTTAAGAACTTAATTCAGCAGGTGATTTAGGGAAGATAATAGTCATTTTTGAGACCTGAGCTTGTGGTTTAAATAAACTGGGTACAAAAAAAAAATCTTAAAGCACAAAGCATAATTATAAAAACATATCCGCTAAAAGAAAAAAGATAATAAACTGAGAGGGTATATGCAGGGGGCCTGTCATATGAATAATAGAAACTCTAAAAGGGAAATAGGAAAGGTAAAGAATAAAGGCAATAATTAAATGAACAATAGAAGAAATTTTTGAACAATAGAAAAAAATTTCCTGTGAGGAAGAAGACAGATTTAAAGTGTTCACTATGTTCCAGACCAAATTAATGAAAAAAGAAACTTATAAGCATATTCTGATAACATTTCTAAACTTCAAAGTTAAAGGAAAAGTATCATATGCAGAAAGGAACAAGCCACCCACAGTGGACTGGCATTGAACTTGTAATATGCAACACTAAAAAGCAAAGGACAAAGGAAAGACACATACAGATTATTAAGAAAAAAAGGATTGTAACCCAAAAATTCTATACTCATTCAACTGTCAGAGCAAAGAGATATTCCAGGCTATGTAAGAAATCGGAGAGCATATCATCGTTCTATCTTGTCCAAGGACAATTCTTGAGAAAAATATTATAACCAAGCAAGGGAAGAAACAGAACAGAAATTTAATATGAGGGAAGAAGTAAAGAGGGAGGGTAATCAACCCTTGTTTCTCCATAAGTCTAAATGATTAAGGATAGATTATGAGAACGTGAATATAGTGCTAAATATTTTTGAAACAGAGGCATCATAATGTAGGGGATATTTTAATAAGTAATAAATTAACTCAGCAACACCTAAAAGTTGGATAGAGGGACTGGAAAGGGAGAGAGTAAACATTGTCCAAAAGTCTCTTGGATAGTGGAGATGGGAATAGGAGAAGGGAAAATAAAAATATTCTAGAGTTCCCAACAGTAGAATTGGGTTCAGGGGATGTGGGGTAGAGAAATATTCTATCTTGGTAACACAATTAATAGAGTTGAATGTGTCTATGAGATCAGGGAAAGGGAAGCCACACTTAAAAAATATGAATGCATTAGGAAATCATTTCTTCTCCATTCAGAAGCATTCATTAGGAAATTTCACACATTTGCATGATCTTTCTTCACTTCTCCCTTATTTGTGTGATTTGGGGCTTAGGAGTAGAAGTAGAGAGGACAGCATTGTTTTTAAATCTGCAGAACATTATTGGTGGGTTTTGAGTGCAGTTTACAGATCATGTTGACTAAGCATTCTTTTTCTCCTAATATTTGACAATGAAATCATCATCTTTGCATGGCTTATATCTTCTCATTCAAGTGATATTTCAAGTGTCTCCTCCCAGATAAGACACCTCATCCAAGGTATCCAGTTGGACACTTTGCCACATCACCCTTTTTTGTTTTATGTACCTCATAACACTCATTACTAGCCATTTATTTGATTTTTTGATTGCCAATTTATTGATTGACTTTCTATCTCATCCCACCTGAAAGTAAGCTCAGTGAGAACAATAACGTTGCCTTTTTGTTGCCCATCTCCAGCACTAGAATGGTGTCTGCTCCATAGTAGGTAGTCAGTCATATTTGCTAAGTGAGTGAATCTCTATTTCCACATCAAATTCTTACTGCTTTCTACTGTTTTTTATATACCTGTGATCATTACTGTCCTTATCCGGGCTGAGATGAGCTCTTCCAGGACAGGTTTTGTCTCTTCCTTCAATCGATTCTCCAAGATCAGCAATCCCAGAAATATCAGGTCTGCTTCTACCTGGTCCCTGGAAATATATATATATAAAATGATTGAACAGAAATAACATGTCATAGTCCTTCTTACAGTTAGCAAACAAAAATAAAGACAAACATCTTTTTTGTTAGAGTGGTACTGACTCACTCATTCAAGCATCATTCCCAAGGTACTGAATATGTGCTAGGAACTATCCAGACAGGAAGGGGACATAAGGATACTGAGACATTTCCTCTGACTAAATCAAGAAGAAGAGAGAGTACTTATTAAGCAAAAAATTGGCTTTAACCTTTGTAGAAAATGACCTAAATGGCCACAAAGGTCTCTTCCATCTGCTGCAGTGATTTTCATTACCTCACTGCTGGCAATCACCAGAGAGGAGTTCTACGTCTGGTACAAAGCATCATGAAAAAAAAGTGAGGAACAAGAAAAATATAAAATGCCAGTTCTTCTAGAAACCAACGCTATAATCAATATCATTTTACTCCCAAGGGTAGAGGTCATAATCTCAAAAACGTAGTCTCTCTTTAAAGTCCACTCTCCCCCCTCTATCTGTCAGCTGGGTAGCATTGCTCTTCTACATAAAGTATGAATGCTTCTGCAGCAAGTGGGGTCTCTAAGGCTCCCATTCACTGCACGGACATTTCCAAGACATTCCAGAGGACCAAGTGCAGGGGCATGCATTTGGGGTTGGGGGCTGAAAGATTCTTCCAAGATTCATTTATCTGAGACTCAGACACCTCTAGTAGACACAAGAGCAAGACATCAGCATGGCCTATATCTAGCTGAAATACAGATGAAAGCAATATCCAGAAAAGCCACTTTACCTTGCTGGCTATGTGTGCCTCACATTGGCCAGGGGCATGATGCTCACAAAACACTGCTAACACATCCAGAGTGGCAGGGAGTGGACACAATTGGAACTACTCATCTCAAAGTAGGCTTGGAAGGATAACATTTCCTATTCTGAGCCTGACATTTAACTCTCTCCACAATCGGATTCTACAGTGTTTTTTTCAGGTTCATCTATCACTAAATTCTTCATCCACCCTAATCTCTAGCCAAATAGGGCCACGCACCATGGGTATGCTCTGTATTCAACCATCTTTAAACATTTGCTCTAGACTGCCAGAGACATTCTTTCTTATTTCATGAAAAAGGTTATTATATGTTCCTCCTGGTCTGTCATTGAAATCTTTCCTATATTTTGAGGCCAAATGCACATACAACTTCCTATATAGGCTCCCTAGATAAAAATACTTGTTTCCTCAGTATATTATTTCTATCTCAGATTTGCTTGTATTTTATTTGTCCATATATTATCACTCTTTTCTATCTGATCTATCTCTATTTCAATTTCTTTCTTGAAGGTAAAACCACCTGGTTTAACAACAAGTTCAACAACACCCACGTGGTACTCAACACAGAGAAGGTGCTCAGCCAATGTTTGCCTAGTTGAAATGTTCTGGTGTCTGGGGTTACCATTTTCGCCAGGCAACTTATAAAAATTCATTTCCTCTTTCAGAAATTCTACTGCCAGAGGATTTTCACAAGAATCAAAGTCAGTCAGTCTGTCAAGTCAATGGTCATTTACTGAACACCTAAGAAAGTGCAAAAATTGGACTAAGGAAAGGAGGAAGAATATGCAGAGACTATAATAGCTCCTGACTCCAGAGATTCCACGTTCAGTCAGGAGGACAAGATCAGACTTGACCACTTTGGTCATATAGAGGGCTTGGAAAGGTATCATGAAAATGCAGAGTCCTAATTATTTCTGGGTGGAATGATTGATAAAGTCATCCTAGAGGAGGTGATATTTGAGCTGGTCATTAAAGGATAACTTAATTGATGCCTGATTTAGGTCCTCCAATCTTTCTAGTGGCCCTCATACCCATGCCTCAGGCTTTAGATATGTCCAGAGATGATATGACACGATCAAACCACAAGGCATTAGATCAGGCCAAGAAAATGGCCAGAGGGTCCAGTATCTGACACAGTCTTGCAGTCTACCTTGGCATTCACATTCTGGTTCCTCTGGCACATAGTCTTTGTAGCGTTCAATGAATAGCAATCAGGAGTCCAGAGTTATAAATAATTCCAGCTCTGTTCCTACCTTGCTGTGTGACCAAGAGTAAATCACTTTCTTTGTCTGATAATCTATTTCTTCTTTTGTAAAAAAAGTTAGCAAAATGAATGTATTTCCAAAGTCTCTTAAAGCTCTAATATTACATGTTTCTTCTTTTCATGAGTATTCAGTCTCAGTCAAGAAATAAAGAGGAAAAGCAGTCCCTTAAGGGGTCTCAAGCTCTGCATTTTGGAATAGCATGCTATCTTTTTCTTCTTGCTGCATAGACTATACCTCCTCCCAAAGCATCCTATCTCATAAAGAGGGAATATGCTAATTGACTGCCATGCCTCAAAATGGTGGTGCCCACAGCCAAAAGATGGCGGTGCCCAGTCCCCTAGCCCCACCAGGGTGGCAGGCATGCACCAAGTGGGCCCAGACTTGCCACACACCTGCCTCCAGAGTCCCCCAGTCCTCTCAGCCACCCAGCCACCCAGGGCCACCCAAGGCTCAGGTAACCAGGGCTGGCTGAGGCTTGTGCTGCCAGCAGTGGCAGCAGCAGAGGGGTGATGGGGGCATCGCTTCCCCTGATCACCAGGTCGCCTCCCGCCCCTGAGGGCTCCCAGACTGTGAGAGGGGCAGGCCGGGCTGAGGGACCCCCTCTCCAGTGCATGAATTTTCATGCACCAGACCTCTAGTCTAAAAATAATAAAGAATAAAGAGTGTAATACAAAAGGAGCATTGTCATCCTTGTGACTATACTTCATGTTCTTAAAATCCATGTGATTTTTAAAGGATGAAATATGCACAAGGCAGGCCAAGAACCCTCAAAGAAATTATGATACCTGTGCTGGAAGCACTCTGAGCAAACATACAAACATACACACAAACACCACAGAAAGAATGTTCTATTCAATCAGGGATTAGCAAAGGTTGGGTAAATTAACCTAGCTAGAAAAATATGTAGTGCTGCCTGACTGGTTTGGCTCAGTGGATAGAGCGTCGGCCTGTGGACACAAGGGTCCCAGGTTCGATTCTGGTCAAGGGCATGTACCTTGGTTGCAGGCACATCCCCAGTGGGGGGTGTGCAGGAGGCAGCTGATCGATGTTTCTCTCATCGATGTTTCTAACTCTTTATCCCTCTCCCTTCCTCTCTGTAAAAAATCAATAAAATATTTTAAAAAAATATGTAGTGCTGATGTGGCTTTAACGCAGGAAGGGAAAATTGATAACCCAAGATCAGATTGAATTAGTGAATTTGTGTTTGGACCTTATCAAATTTTGAAACGTTGGAATTTCAATGCTGTTGGCCAGGGCATGTACTCTCCTGTGTGCTGTAGCCCTCACCATTCCCTATTGCTCATGTGTCTCCACCATCAGTCTTTGTCGCATATACAAGCCCCAAAGCCATGAGTTTGAAACTTGTAGATATGCACATATTTTATTATAATAATCAGAAGCAACAGCATAGTATCCAGAATGTTGGCATATATCTGTCAACAGGCTCCCAGGAAACAAAATTCCATTCCCAATTCTGCCACATCCTGGCCTCAACTTTCCTCTTCTTTAAAATGTGAGATCTGATCTCAAAGTTCACTTCAGCTCTCTGACCAATGATTTGAGTGACTTGAGTTGATTAAATTACAACAAATACTTAGAGTTGCAATAGTCAAAGTGACCCTTTGGTTAAGGGTCACATTAAGCTGGCCTTGAGGAAAGTGACCCAATATGCCCAGGAATCTAATACTCAATTACTTTAGATGAGTCACTTCTGCCTCTGGGCCTCTCTGCCCAATCACAAAACGACAGGGTTAGGACACAGCTGTGATTCTCAGCAGGGGCACTACTGCCTCTAGAGGACATTTTGGAAACTTTTAAGACATTTATGCAAGATTTTCTGCAATGACCAATGCACAATGAATAACTACCTTGCATCCCAGGTGCCCTTTGAATATTTTACAGGGCATTCATGACACTAAAAGATTGTTTATACTTTCCTAAGTCAGTATAGGCTTATCCTGCTTATATTATACCACATAGCATGGTATATCATAGTATATATAATACAACTATATTATGATAAATAAACAAAATTGTTTATAGTTCCCATAGCTCTGCTTTATATATAAGCACAAAGTAATTTTGCACATTTTTAATATTCTATTGAATTTTCCAGGAATGTAAGTACTGTGTAAGTTGAAAGGAGATTGTACTGTTTTATTCAAGATTTTACCAAGAGTTTTAAAGCATTTCACAGTCACCTCGCTGACAGCAAGACTGCTGGTGCTATTTGAGACTGCAGTGTATAACACCTGTATCAGTCTGCATTGCTAGCCCCATGATCCTACACACGGTGCAAGCAACATATTGCTTTATTTTGTTTTAGTGGAGTCAGCTGAGCTTTATTGAGTTGTCTGTTACTTTTGTAATACATTGTATTTTTTGCTTTTATTTTACTATATAGGATGGAATCATGTTTATTTCTACAAAGAATATGTGCAGATTATATACATATGATTTTAATATATAAGAGGAAGTGGTACAAAATATAGTTGCAGTAAGAGAGTGCTGTTGAGCCTGACAGGGTTGAAAACAAATATGTTAGACCTCCCAAATTTAAAATCCTTAGTAACAAAATAAGCCATGATTATCTCCATAGTAGTGTTACAATAATGGCTGGAAAGAGTACTGGACATGGCATTGAAGGTGAAATAAACACAATAGTCTAAAAACAGTGGAAAATAAAACAACAGATAAAATTAAACTAAGAGTTCATTTTAGTCCTTGAGAATCCCTATTTTAATCTAATTATATCAAAGCTTTCTCTATAATGGCCACCCTGAAGCTTTTTCTTGTTTTTCTACAGACATTACTTAATTTATACAAGTCTAAGCTATATGTTTTTCATTAAGTTGTGTATTTCTTATCAATATATTTTTCAAATGTTATGTTTTCTAACTTTCAACTAATTCACCAACTATAATTTTAAAAATTAGCTACTTTTATTTGGTTCAAAATAAGGACATGACCTTAATTTCACACTATGAAACATTGCTTATAATCATATATGTGTTTTCACAAAGCTGTACAACCACATCTTATTTCACAGTGTATACAGCTATTTCTCATAAATTCTCCCAGTCATCAGCTTTGTGATTCAGACAGGGTAGAGATGACTATATCCCTGTCTACTAAGTTCAGAAGCATTTCATGCCCATGAATCCTGCCATCTATGTTGCTGAGTCTACTGCCCAGCCTGGTGCATCTTTCCACCCAATCATCCTGCTTTGTGAGAATCCTCCTCACTCACCTCATCAAGGCAGTGGTGTGGTGGTCCATTTCCAGCTTTTTGTAGGCCAGTGCTATGACCCGGAAGCCCTGTGTTGTGTAAATCTGAAGTTCACTAACAAAACTAGCTGGCACTGTTCAGAAAATAACACAAGATTAGTAGGCAACATTTACTACTCAGTTGGTACTAGTAGAGAAACAGATCTAGTTCTTGCAAAAAACAAACAAACACAAAACAAACAAACAATACCACCACATTTCTAAAAAGGTACACAACAAGTCAGTGGGAACCCACCCTAAAAATAACTACGTTGTCAAGAATGACCTCTTGGTATTCAGTGAAGCTGAACTGAAAAGGAAACATTTAAAGAAAGAAGAAGATGAAGATGAAAACAAAGACAAAGAAGAAGAACAAGAAGAAAAATAAAGGGTGAGAAATATGTATAATTCTTTATTTCTACAGTTTAACTAACATTTACTGACAGTCTGCTATGTGCCAGGCATTGGCTCTGCAGAGATTAAACTGCAGGATCTCTGTTTATTAAGGTATCAAATAGTAGACTAACAATGTAATCGAATGAAATCATTTCTATGACCCAAGCAATTGCAGTGTGCTATGCTATGGAATCACTTAGACACACATATACAAGTCTGGGAGGAAGTGGTTAGATGAAGGAAAGGAAAGGACATTTTGGCTGAGGGAGGACCATGTGCTCAGGCATGGACACATGAGACAAACGGCCTTGAGTAGTTAGTTCAGCTCAGGAAAAGCACAGGATGTGAGGATAGGAGTGGTAAGATGTATCTGGAAAGTTTAATAGGAGTCCGATCATGAAGGCCTTATATAAGATCTTAAAGGAATTTGAGATTATTCCCGGAGTCTATGGGAAGCAACCAACAGAAGAAAAGTGGAAAGTGACAACATAGTTATATTTGGTGATGGAAAACCCAATCTAGTCAGAGTATAAAGGATGAATCAGGGTAGGAGTGACTGGGAGCAGGGGTCAATTCACCAACTGTTGAAGTGATCCAGTAGAGGGAAGATGAGGGCCTGAGCTGATGGAGTGATAGGACTATGGGTTAGCAATTGCCAAGACAGAAGCACTGAGGGAGAGGGACAAATCTGGGAAGAACCTCAAATTGGGGGAGAAGGAGAATGGTAGTGTCATTCACCAAGATGGGAAATACAGGAAGTGAGAAAGATAATCTTGATTTTGGTATTGAGTTTGGCATGTAGATGAGTCATCCTATTGGCAATGATCAATAGGCAATTGGATTCATAGGTCAAGTGCTCAGGGGACATATTTGGACTGGAAATATAAATTAGCCAGCTGTAGTACAAGTCTGTTCACTTACCTGTCTCAGGTTGACAAAAGCTGGCCACCTTCTCTGGTGCACCTTTCATGAATGCCAACCGGTCACCCCCCATCTCTTGGACAATGACTGTCATCCTCTGCAGGGCTGATGAGAATGGGAACTGATGCAGGATTGCAATTCCTTCCACTGGGACCTGGTTGAGGGGTGGGGAATGGAGAAGGACACACCAACATAGCTTCCACCTATTGGGAATTAACTATTCCTCCCCCAGTCCTGTTTTTAGCAAATAAGAGACACAAGTTCCCATCAGTTTTCTCATGTCATAGAAGACACGTCTATGACCTTTCAAAAGTGTGGGCCTAATGGGAATTTCCCCTTGAGGTTGGGTATTGCAGAGTGGATAACAGATGAAGCTTACCTGGCTGGCTGTTTTGCTGGGCTTAACTACCATGGCGTGTGCCGGCACTTCCTTGATGTGGAAATTGTCCCCAGAAATAGCCATTTCCTATTTCACAAATGGAATATTTTTTTGTTGTAGAGATTTATTGATACTATGCTCAAACCCTCGTCTTGAGAAAATCCTGAGACCACCTCAACGTTTTCTCGGTTCTCCTCCCTTGGCTAGATGGAGGTGAACCAGTCTTATTTCGTCACAGGGGAAAAAAATGCATTGAAAATGCTGCGGAACTTCAAGGGCAAACACTTCTGAATTATTCATGCAATTTATCCTGCTTTCTCTGTTGGAGCATGCTGTGTAAAGGTCTCAGTCTCTTTCTGAAGAGCTTGACTCAAAAATAGTGAGCATGGATAGCCAGACTTATTTGTGTGTGAGGCAAGCACCGTACTGTCTTTTTTTATCCTGGAGTTCACTGTCATTCCTGCTCTTCCCTTTCTGTCTCATTTGAATTGATGGTCCTCACAGTGAGGTACGGCAGGGACTGTGATGTACCGGTACGTGGTTGCTGGTCAGTAAAGACTCAGTAATTGCTGTAATGATGACCCTAAATCATAGTCACAAGAGCCTTTTACCAAAGATGTCAAAATGCTTTGCAACCATCTCATTGAGTGGCTGAAAAAAAATCTAAAAGAGGAAATTGTAATCCCTACTGAAAAATACAGAAACTGTAACCCAGAAAGGGTAAGATTAGCAAAGTCATATCAGACCACTACAGAACCATGTCCTGCTAGAGTTGAAAAGGACCGTAAGGATTGTCTCCTTCAGTGGGGCTCACACATGTATCATAGGGGCCCAGAGCTGCTACAGGGACCTGGCTACAGGGGGCAGGCGTGGTGGGCTTGTGGCTGAGTAAGGCGGGGCCATGTGTTCCCTAAGCTTTACCTTTACTCCCCATCTCAATCACAGCCACTCCAACTATTCGTTTTTTATAAAGTGCATCTAAATAATGTTTCCTTTTAAGAAAATATTCCAGGTGTGGTTCTTTTTGTTTCGTTTTATGTAAACACTGCTGGTCTACTTCAATCCCTTCATTTTAAGGTCATAGGAACGTAGCCCCAACAAGAGAGATAACTTCACAGGGTCAAGTGCTCAGCTAGAGCAGAGCCAAAACTAGAACTGGGAAAGCCAGATTCCTCTTCCTGAACAACACCCCTTGCTCTTAAATCTACTTTAGAGTCTCAGTGAAAGCGCTCATGTTTCCCTTTTTACTAGTCTTAGGAACAAAACCAATATAATATGAATAAAAATAAAACTCCTGATAACAATGAGTTATCCTAAGCTTGGAGGGCAGTGATGTTCCCTCATCCCCATGTTCTAGAAAACTTTGAAACAAGACATTGCTCGTACTACAACCTGAAAATTTGGAAATAATAACTAAAATTACATAATAATTCTAATTACATTCATGCAATTGAGCCTGTGATATGTACCAGAATTTTTTAAGGGCATAATTTCATTTAATCACAATAACCCCACCATGAAGATACAACGTACAGGGAAGGAAACGAGGCTCACACTGGTCTGTCTCTCACTGCTCTATGTCCTCCATTATTGAAGACTTCACATCTTACAAGTATTGACTATCAGTGATAAAACCTGTGTTTCTCCAGCATTGAAGAAGCTTCTTAGATTCTCTGCAGGTCAGAGGCTTACCCAGTTGGTGGCTTCAAACATTTTGAGGTCCAGAGGGTCTCCCTGGATGGTCTCATCGAGGAGGATCAGAGAGTGGCAGCTGGCCATGGAGGCACACAGTGGGCCCCAGGGCAGAGCCCTGCCTGAGGCAAAGCTGTGGACCTCCTGGAAGCTAAAGGAGAAAAGGGAAAGGGCTTCAGCCCAATTCTCCATCCAAAATGGAGCTTCCAGAGGTGACTTTTTGAAAAGTAATTTAACGTGTTTTGTTACATTAGATACCCACTCTCCAGCCACCCCAAATTAATTAGTGCTTCATTTAGCCATCATTCTTACAAGAGTTCAGTGAAAATGAGAAAGGTCATTCAAGGTCTTTCCCTTACTCTTTCTCTGGTATGGATTTAATTCCAGAGGAATGAAAGGAACTAGAAGTATCGCTTTTAATTCTAAGTACATCCACTCCTGCTCAAACTCCCAGACCACTTCATTTCCAATGCCGTGAGGCAGAACAGCTTTGCCCATGCTATGGCTATTTGTGTATCTCCTTCCTTAATCCTTTGCGGCAGGGCTATGCCTTCTGTATCTCTCCAACATGTTTGGCCAATATTAGACAGAAAACAAATGCACGAGTGAATAAATGAATGAGTAGCTACTGAAGATCTGAAGAGCATAATGGTAAAGAAATATAACCTAAAAATATTTTTAAAGAGATACTGCATCCCTCTCTTCCACCCTGGCATCTAGTGTATCCCTATTGCAGTCATCATCACCATCACTTCCTGTAGGAAGTGGCTTCATCTAAAATCTGCTGGGATACAACTGCAATGTCAGGTGCAGTGTGCTGTCACTAATTCAGGGTTGAAGTCATCAAGTTCAGCCTCTGGCCCATTAGAGGACTGTCCTCTGCAACCTTGTTGTCAGTCCCTTCTTAAATGTGTAGCACCGTAGATGGTTCATAGAGCAACTCATCCTAGGAGGACTTCTGATAGCAGAAAGTGCTTCCTGAACACTGAGGCAGAACATGCTTCTTGGAGCCAGTCAGAGTCTACCTGCGCTCCAACTTCTGTGGACGAGCTCAGCTAGAGGTTCCTGTGTAAACCCTCCCTTCCTCTGAGTTTACAGAGGAACTTTGCGCTGTGCCTTTAATACAGTTTGCAGACCACTCACTTTTCTAGTTACTTCCTTAAGTTTTTATTTGTCATCGTTTGATTAAAATGTGGTCTTGAGGATCATATTATTACTTCTCATGATATGGACACTGCATTTCTTTAAATACTGCCTTAGGTTGCTCTAGCCTTTTGTTTTCGAAAGTCTCCACATCACAGTGTTAACGTATAATCCAGCCATATTTCTTGCTGGCTTCCTCATCCAAGCTTCTCTAAGAGTTCAAAACCTCTCGGCTGATTACTGACCCTGTTGATCATATCTATTATTATATATCAGAGGATTAAGTTATCTTAGTAGTTTACAACAGGCCCCTGGCATTTGGGTAAACATGTAAAAGGAAGAAGCCACCAGCAGTGTGATCAACGTGGACGCTTAAGCTCACACAAATCAGGGAAAATGGAATCTTATTTTTCATATGGCACACGCATTGTCATCAGTATGTAATTCTGAATTCCTGAGATTGGGCCAGACTCTGGTTTACACAACAAATAAATAGAACTCTTCTCTTATCCCTGTCCTTGTATTTTTATTTGAATGCTTGAGATTTTCAAACTCAGATAGCTCAGGTAGCATGCCAAAAGTTCTTTAAGTATCCAGCCCTTTTTGGAAAAGCTAAGACTTATCATGACTCACCTTTTATTAGACAACATTTAATAGACTATAAGTCAGGGGCTAACTTCTTACCTAGGATTGAATCTCCTTTCTCTCATTTTATGAATTAAAGTTGGTAATTTTGTTTAATTTTAAATTGTTATTTAAGTCATTTGAAACCAACTTTCACCTTTTTGAAGGAAGATGGGAATAAAGAGTAATGGGCTTATTAATCAATATCTTAAATATATGAATTATTTTTATTTAAATTTGACAAGTTTTATTTAGAAATAAAAAGCTTAATAAATAAGTTTGATGTCAATTCAATAGGTAGAATAGCATTCAAAAGATGGAACGCATTTAGTTAGTTTTGGATGAACAAACATATACTATGCATCTACTTGTGCACCTGGTATAGTGCTACAGCATAAGGAACACAAATATAAATAATAAAAATACTGCTCTCAAGATGTTCACATATTTTAATAAATGCATACACTTTTTGTTGAAGCTGAAATAGAAAAATATTAATGAACATGGAGTCCAGGCATATATCCAAATCTATCTTCAAGGAAAATAAAAAGAACTTCAAAAATTTATACTAATAAGAGGCTTATTCTGTATACCAAGTACCAAGATCAATTTCTTTAACCCAGGAAACAGACTTGTTTATAAACACTTTATATTCATGTTTTAATATGAAAATGTATTACACATCTATAATTAAAATATTTTGTGGATAAATTGTATGTCGTCTGCATAATGCAGAAGAATTGCTATGAACTTTTTATGACTAAAATGCTTTAAGATTTAGTTTGTAAGTGAAAAATACCTTCATTTTTAAAAAAAAAAAGGAAATGTCGAATGTTTTCTGTTCACACTGGAAATTGCAGAGAAAAGCTGGAAGAGAAGTAATCCCAGGCATGGCCGCCAGGGGGCCTCAGGAAAGGTTATGCAAATCCCCGCTTGGAGCTGAAAGCTGCCCAACACTGAGGAGTTCTGGGGCAGCCAAAACGTGGAATTCTCAGAACTAGAATACCAAGGAACATAAGTACACTGGCCCAGCTCCACGGACGTTCCTTTTACTGAAATTCATTGTACAAAGGTGAACATGGTGTCCTTCCTCCTGGCACAGAAGAAGGCTTTGAAGGAGAGTGTCTTTGTATTGTCCAAATGAGGTACACTGGGCCAACTTCAGTCCCCTGACTAATATGCTGACTGCAAATTACATTTTAGCAAGGATTTGAATGCAGTGTCAAAACTTCTCCTTCATCTCCTGGGTTTGTGTGCGGCATGTGGCAGGGGCTGGGACAGGGGCAAACATAGGTTTTAGCGCAAAATATTCGTAGAACCATTAAGAAGCAGAAGTTAAATGAAGCTATGCTGGCAACCACTGCTCACCAAAGCCAAAGCTATATTGTCTCTATTGTTAATTTTCCTAAGAAAACACAGAGTTCCAGGAAAAGAAAAACTTGTGCATTTAGTCCAAGGTACTATGTGTGATAAAGGGATTCTATGGAAAGTCACCTCACAGGTGGCTTTTGTCCACCTTTATGCAGTTCCCTCCTTAATTTCAAATGCATAAAAGAAACTGCAAAACTGTCATTCTCCGGTGCACTTAGGTCTTGCTTGCCAGCAACTGTTGTCAGTTTTGGCTCAAGTCACCACTTGTGAAAGTTCTCTACAGGTTTGGGTGCTTTTATGTGAACAGTACTCACCCATTCTTATTGCAGGGCATGACTCCCCAGACATCCAAGCCCTCCCTTGTCAAGGTGCCTGTCTAAACAGAAACAAGCACTCGGTTTACTCTGAAGATCTAGCTCCCCATTGCAAGGACGAATAAGGTCCATCTTAATGGAATAACATATGCCACAACATTTTATAGAGATCAGTGCTTCCAGCAAGAACACAGTGAGGTGGGTATCTGGACTCCCGGGGGAAGCATGGATGAACTCATCCCAGTTGTATGACCAGCAAGCACTTAATCTCTTTGCACTTTAGTGATCTCAGCAATAAAAGAAAGAAAGCCGGACCTGCCTTACATATTTCAGAGGCTTGTTTGGAGATTCAGAGGCCAGATTAAACAGATGGCAAAGTTCTTGGTAAGCCTACAAGAGCTAAAAAATGGTGAATCCCGGTTCTTATTGCAGAAGTTAAAAGTATGACATCAGAAATAACTAATGGGAGTAGGAGAATTTTCTATTGTCCTAAAGAAATGGTTTGTTATTTGACACATACTTAGTTAAAAGGTGCTTGTTGGTACTTTTCTCAGTGTAGTGTAATGATGAAGAGTTTATCTGGGTTAAAACACCAGCTGTGTGATCTAGGCAAATTACTGAATTTCTCTAAACATCAGAGTCGTTGCCTGTAACATGGTTATAATCATATAAAGTTGTTGTGAAGATTAAATGAGATAATACAATAAAGTGCTTAATTTAATGTCTGGCATAGGGTAAGAGCTGATAATAATGATAATTACTCATAATAATTATTTATTTAACATTCAAATTCTTGTCACAATTATCTTCCCACCCCATTTCTTTTTCCAAGTCCAAGGATAATATGATTTCATAAATAGAACATCTTTCCTTATAATTCTAGTTTGATCACAAAATAATGCTGAAATAGTAGCAAGAGCCACATTAACCTTTTGTTCTTGGTAGATAGATTGATAGTTCAACAATTAGATAATATCGCTCCCATCTCATTAATTTTCTGCTATCAAAAACCTTCAATGTACTGTTTATTGGGTACAGATTTATGTTTGGGAAGGTGAATACAATTCTGGAGATGGGTGGTGGTGATGGTTGCATAATAATTTGAATGCACTTAAAGCCACTTAAGAAGGTTAAAATGGTAAATTTTATATTATGTATATTTTACCACAATAAAAAGAATAAGAAAAGGAAAGGCAACAACAAAAAATAAAAACCTTCAATGACTTCCCACTGTCTAAAGAAATATTTCTTAGCCAGACATTCAAGGTTTATAAACACCCTCTCCCATTACTAATGTCCTGTTCTGATCAAAACACATTTTATTGCTCTTCAGACTCTGTGCCTTTGCCCATAATCTCCTGCCTATAATAGCTTTGTCTTGTACATATTTTAAGTATTTTTGTAATGTTTGACAACTTAAAAAAATATTTCTAGCTGAAAAGAGACCACCTTTTGGGCGGGGGGTGGGGTGGGGGGGAGCTGGCAATTATTAGTAGAAGAGACAGCAAGGAACTCAGGCAAGAGCACATCTTTGTTATGCAAACTAACCACTGGGTAGCCAAACCTCCCCTCTCTCTGGTCACCCTCCCCAAGAGACAATATTCCTTTTCCTTACTCATCCCAGGGCCAGGTATCAGACAACTAGGGACCATCTCTGCAGCCTAAAGCTCACCAGAACCACTCAAATAAGCAATCGTCAATTGTTTACCCTGCCTTATCTTGCATTTCCTGCAGAAATCCCAATAAAGGCCATGGCCTAAGCACTCCCCTCACTCCTGCTTTGCTTCCTGATCCAAACCTGGCATGCTTCCTGTGGCCTTGCCTGGTGAACTATGCCTCTTCCTTCCAGAGGGAATGTGAATAACATTGACCTTTCCCTGTCATCACTCAGTCACCATTATAAATTAAAACCTAGACACAAAACCACCTTTCATTTCCACCTTACCCTCTCACAGCTTCCATCTTTACTCCAGCATATGTGTAGACAGACTAGAAGAATATCTTCAAGAGAAGGTAGAATAAGAAGCTGGCTGGGAGTAACTGCCATATAATCAAGGATAACTTTAAATAAAGTCTTCCTTTTTCATTCGTTCATTCATTCATTCACTCACTCATTCATTCAATAAGTATTTACTGAGTACTGACTATGCCAAGCACTATTCTTAACATTAGGGATACAATAGTAATCACAGTAAAAGATTTAAATTTTATTTTCTGAGGGTTTGGGTGATAGACAGAATGCTATTTTAATTAATTGTGTTTCATAGACCATTGGAGATGGAAGGATCCTAAAAGATTCTCTAATGCAGTAACTACTGTCCCTTTTCTATAATCTGAGAGCTCACAAGATGTTTCTTTCCTAGGTCACACAGCCAACCAGGGATAAAGTGAAGTCAGATACCCACATCCTGCTTCCTGACTCATGAGAGTGTACCACGCGTATACAGGATGACAATGACGATTACAATGGGGGTGAGAATGAAGATGAAACACACATACCTTGTCAAAGCAGACAAGGTTTAATTGCCCACATACATTGATCCTCTGGGGACTGATGCAAAAGATGCCTTTCTTCTTTAGTCTCTTCTGGGCATAGATAATGCCTGTGGTCAGGGCGGCAGGTAGAGCAGGAGGAACTGCAATTGTGATGACATCCAGGGCTTTCCTCACCACCTCCCCGGGAGCTTTCTGGAAGATACCGCACTCTCACTATCACAGATAAATCAGTCACAAAAAGCTTTGTGAAAATGACTTTTTCCTTTTTTTTCTTTACTTATTTAGATTAAATTTCTAGAAATAATATAAGCAAGTCAAGCATGGGTCACAGGGTACGAACGTATTTTGGTTCTCAATACATTTTGCCAACATGCAATGGAAAAGGCTTGTAACGATTCATATGCTACCAGCAGGCAACCATGGGCCAATTTGCCATGTGCCCTCACCAACACTGAATATCTGGGTTCTGATTAAAATTTCTCATTTCATAGCTACTAAAAATTACATTATTGCAATAAATATATTCTCAGATTGAAAATAATATAAGGAAATATTGTGCAAGAGTAGAAGCATGCTGATATCTCAATAAGCAAAATGTTTTATCCCATTAGATTGAATTGTTATCATGGACCTTGGTGATCAATTGCCTATGTTGGAGAGCCTGGGAGTACATAGGTCAGTTTCAGTGCTTGGCTTTGTTTCCCATGTTTGTAATCCCTACATTAAGGTCAACATGTAGCGTATAAAACAGACATGGGTGAGTGTGTATGTGCATGCAACAAAGGCAGCTTACCCCGCTGAGCACGTAGACACATAAAGTATAGATCATCCCAATGGTGGCAGTTGCTACGAGGCACAGGAGAAACCTGATGGCATCCCTGTAGAGCTTGAAGTTCATCGACTTGGGATACAAGATGGATCTCACGAGGTCCCCCTTTGCAGTGTTGAATCCTGAGCGATAAACACACACCCCACCCTCTCAGGATGACAAATCCTATGCTGGTGCTCTTCCAACCTCAATCCAACATTGCCTTTGTCTTCTCTAGAGACATTTAAACAGCGTTTAAACCCAAGTGTAATTAAAGGATAATTGGAAAATATCTAAGCGCTAGAATGGAAATACCTTATCTATTTCAGAGCCTATTACTCTGGCCTTCCTTCCCTCTACTTTCAGTTCCATGCATCCCAGAGACAGGGAAGCACTATACTGGGGACAGAGCACAGCTTTTCCAAAGGCAGCTTCCTTTTAAGGAAACGACTCATGAGAATGCATGCACACACACACATGCTCACTCTCTCTCTTTCACACACACATACACACACACACATACACACACACACACACACGTCATTTGAATTTAAACTAAGTGGCCCATTAAATACTGACAAATTCAATTTCTATTACTTTAGAATGTCAAGTTTTCTGTTTCTAGTCCTGCCTAGAAAGAACTCAGGATTTGAGGTTAAAAGACCTGAGTTCTGGGTCCAGCTCAGCCAGTTCCTGGCTGTATGGTTTGTGAAAGTCCACTTGCATTGTGTGGGCCCCAGATGATTCATGTAGGCACTTTTGTTTTGCAAGTACTATATATGCAAGTAGTTTATAAACTACAAAGCACATAAATAGTAATATTATCATCAGTACTATTATTTTTAAAAGGCATATGCCATAGTTCAATTCACTTTTAAAATATATAAATTTAGTATAGTTGGTTTGTTATCTAAAGACTGCTCCATACTTAATAAATTAGACACTAAATAAACTGAACAACAGCATTTAATTAAAATGACAAAATGGAAGGAAGAGATGCTGACTAACCAGTCTGCAGTACCACAGCTTTCACAGTCCTGGAGCAAGCTCCCTTGGCCTGGATAACCTCTGTTCCACAGAAGAGGATGTGCCGTTTGTAATCCGCTTCACTCTGTGTTTTCCAGGGCACAGAGCCATCCATCTGAGGTAATGGAGTCTTAGTGACTGGGATACTTTCTCCTACAGAAAACAAGCCATGCACTTTGTGAGGCAAGATGCCCTCACTCATCTAAATCATGTGTGCACTTAAACATCCTATAGTAGATGTTCGTTGTGAGCCTGCCATGGGGCAGGGACAACCCTAGACACAGGAAATACAAGTGGAAACATAGTGCTTGCTTAAGAGGTCCGGAGTCCGGAGAGGAACACAGACATATAACAAACAAATATAATGCCATGTTATAATTACTGTGAGTACTATAAAACCAAACATGGATGCTGAAATGGGCAGGAAATAACCATGTAGGGAATACCAAAATGTGCAGTTTAGAATGTGGGGGTATTGGGAATAAAGGGCCATGAGACCTATGTAGGAGCCAAAGCCTGAAGGGCCCTAAGTGCATGTTTCATTCTGGGGTGTGTGTGTGTGTGTGTGTGTGTGTGTTTTCCCATAGGCCCTAGTGTCAGAAAGGGACTGGGGAGATGTTTAATTGTTTTATTAGATTAGAGGCTGGGCAGTGAGTTGGAAAATGACCACAAGAATCCCCACTGGAGTACCTGAGGTTTGAAATATGGCAGTTGGCAGTGGGAGTAGAAAGGAAGTGCTGGATTTGAGAAATAAGGAAGTAAGAAGCTACAAAACTTGGGAAATCCTATATAATAAAAGCCTAATATGCTGTGTCTGGTCATCTGGTCCTCCGTTCAACCAATCAAAGTGTAATATGCTAATGATATCCTAAGGCCACTCAACTGCTTGCTATGATGTGAACTGACCACCTGGGGGCAGATGCTCTTACCTGTGGTTAGCTTACTGCTGGGTTCTGGCTGATCAGGACTGAGTGAGATGGGCTGGACACACCCTGGAGCCCTCCCAAAGTCTCTTCCTGGCTAGCCAACCTTTCGCATCTCTCCCCGGCCCCGATCATGCACCAGTGGGGTCCCTTGGCCTAGCCTGCGCCCTCTTGCAATCCAGGACCCCTTGGGAGATGTCGGAGAGCCAGTTTCAGCCCCATCCTGCTCAATGCAGGAGCTTCCCCCTGGTGGTCAGTGCACTCCCACAGGGGGAGCACCGCTCAACCAGAAGCCAGGCTCATGGCTGGCAAACGCAGTGGTGGTGATGGGAGCCTCTCCCACCTCTGCCACAGCACTAAGGATGTCCGACTGATGGCTTAGGCCCACTCCCCCAAGGGTTCCCGGACTGTGAGAGAGCACAGGCCGGGCTGAGGGACCCCCCAACCGAGTGCACAAATTTCGTGCACTGGGCCTCTAGTATTTTTATATTGGCAGTTTAGAGGGACAGAGGAATTGAAAGTGGCTTCCTGGTGTCTGACTTTGGAGAATGAGCAGAGGTTGCCATTACTTATCAATATAGGAATTATAAGAGGAAGGAGGAATTGCCTTTGATCACCTTGAGTTGGAGAGACCTGTGTAACAACCATGTTGAGATGTTTTGTAGCTGGTTAGAAACTTATTTGGGTCTAGAGCTCAGAGGAGAGGTTTAAAGGAAGATTTTAGTCAGAGTTCATCACCTTAGAGGTGATATGAAGGTGATGAGAAGACCACTTAGGGACTGAGTGTAAGGTAAGAAGAGAAAAGAACCAGGACATAGCAGCAACAATCAAAGAGATGGGGGAAGAGGAACAGCACAAGAAGCTGACCAGCTTGGTTGGTGGTAGAAGAACTCAGAGAGACAGTGTTGCCTTGGAAAGTTAGGGAGAAGAGAATTTTCAGAAGAAAGAGGTGGTGAGAATAGTCAAAACCAGCAGAGAGGTCAATAAAAAGAGAAATTTAAAGAATCCATTGGGTCCTGCCAGCATGGCTCAGTGGTTGAGCATTGACCTATAAACCAAGAGGTCATGGTTCAATTCCCTGTCAGGGTACATGCCCAGGTTATGAGTTCGATCCCCAGTGGGGGCTGTGCAAGAGGCAGCCGATCAATGATTCTCCTCATCATTGATGTTTTTATCTCTCTCCCTCTTCCTTCTTCTCTGAAATCAATTATAATATATTTTTTTTAAATATATATTAATTTTTTTTAAAGAATACATTGGATTTGGCGATTGAGACACTAGTGACTTTGGCCAGTGAAGGGAGAGGGGCAGGTTGCAGTGGGTTGAAGTGCAAACACAGGAGGTAAATGAAGTTGTGAAAGTAGCAATGGCTTCTGAGGAACAAAGCTTGTAAAACTTCCACTGGTGATGCTGAGTGCGCAGTATAAAGTCAGACACATGTTCCTGTATGCTAGGGCCACTTGGCATTGCAAAAGTCTGAGCACTAAGGGATGTTTATAAATGTATGGATTCCTTAGGAAAAGGAAACAGACCTGCCATGTTTTCTTTGCTTTTTTTGTTTGTTTCGGTAAGTTCACATAGGAGTGAGGTGTGTCTTTGTTTCTATTTCATACCTTTCTGACAAGTGGATTTGACTTGGACTTTAATGGGAACCAAGGATGTCAGTGTGTATTCACAGCCTCCTGTTTAGTCTCCAAAAGACTTTATGATTCTTCTTTATCTTACAGAAATATTGACACACCACCTCCTAATAACTGCATATGTGAGTGAGAATTCAAAGCACTGCGACCTTGAGCAAGTTTCTTCTCCTCTCTGTACCTCAGTTTTCTTATCAATGAGATGCAATGACCTCTAGGGACCTGCCCAGCTCCAGCATGCTATTTAAAAATGAACTCCAGTTAGTCCCAAATACCCAGGTTTGCCAAGTCCTGCATCATGAACTTTTTCAACATTTTCAAGCCAAGCTCGGAAGAGCTTGCACTTAACTCTGTGGGTTTCAGGATGTTCTTAAATGTTTTTAAACCCTCCAAGTTTATCTGAAGACAAATTTTATATAAAAATACTAAATATAAGAACCACAGATAATTCTGAAACGTCTAATGATCTCGACGATATTTTAAAGTAAATGACAGGGTTGTAAGAACCCTTGGTTCAAGAAGGAAATGCTCAGGACTCAAAAAGTGACCACCGTATGAAAATCAGCACACAGAAAGCAGCTTTGAATTGAACTCTCGGATACATCCAGGGCAGAACTGTTCATGAGATTTGTGGGGACGGGGAGGGCCCACAGCTGCCCCACACTTTGCCCTTGTCATTCGGGTACAGGAGCCTGGGAGCACTGGGGAAGCTGCAGACGGAGACAGAACCACACCTGTCAGCATGCCTTCATTCACCACACAGCTGCCATCAAGCAGAACGGCATCACATGGCATTTGCACTCTGTTCCCTGTCAAAATTAATAGATCTCCGGGGACGAGAAAGCGTGATTCCAGCTCTTCGACTCCAGCTGAAAGTGTGAGAAGACAGAGTCGAGTCAGTTCTTTTTCCCACAAAAACATAGTCCAACATCTGCCTAAATTAGAAATCAATTGAGAAAGCAATCAGAGCACTTTTTAAAAAGTTATTCTTTAACATTGATTTAAAAATCCAGAAACAATGAGAAAAAAAAGCAATACATTCAATTACAAAAAATAAATAAATAAACTTTGTGAGGCAAAAAAAATAAAGAAAAAACAAATGAGAAATTCAGAAAACATGTTTGAAACTTAAAGTATAGACAAAGATTAATATTCCTAATACATAGAATTCCTTAGAAAAGAAGAGATGTATAGCAAAAGTGATAGTCCCCCCCTCCACCACACACATACACCACACACATGCAAGGGGCATGTTAAACATTTGAAAAGATGCTCATTCTTACTCATAATAAGAAAAATGAAAATTTCTTCCTTCTTTCCTTCCTGCTTTCCTGCCTTCCTTTACTTCTTTCTTCCCTTATTTAGTCCCAAAGCTATAAGGGCTTAAGCAAGATAGGTACCCATCCAGGAGTCTGGGTGAGGGGGGGATGGGGGGGGTAGCTTGTGTGGATGTTGGAACCTGAGAAGGATGGCCTGGTACAGGGTGTCAGAGCCCATGTAGGAAGAAAAGGGTCCCCAGAATGGCAGTGGCCTGGTGACAGATATTGAAGTCCTAGCATGTGAGTGCAGGGGGACATCAGCAGTGACTGATGATGCGTTACATCCAGGTGAGACTGACACAATAATTAGATATAAAGAGCCTTGTGGGAGGCAGATTTCTCACTGAAGCAAGGAAGTTATAAATATAACCAGAATGAACTCTGTGGTCTCCATAGAATTGAAGACAACAGTATAAATTGATTGATTTTCCATAGACAGATGGAGAAGTAATATGGATGTAAATGGCAATCCATTAATGTAGAAGGAAAGATAAAATTAGAACATCACCATTTAATTATTGAAGCAATATTTAATCTAGCCAAGGGACATCAATGGATACTAAAACTAGTGGGTAAAAATTTGATGAGGATGATATATAGTCTCAAAGTATCTCTTAATAATAACTACTAATTACAAAGAGAAAAAAGTAAATTTACAATAGAAAAACCTGGCAGACACCATTTAATTAAGTAATCCACACTAATTTCAGTAGTAATAGGACAAATCTAAAGTATGTAACACATGAAAGGAAGCCTTGAGAACTCAGCATTACTTCTGCGACATGCCAGCTAAAAAATGCATAACCCGAATTTAACTATGGGGGAACATCAAACAAATCCCCATTGAGGGACAGTCTACAAAATAACCAGATCAAAGAGTCAAGGTCAAGGAAAAAGTGAAGAATATTAAAGAGATATTGCAAAAAAAGGTAATATGGCCTATTCTTGCAACAACTCCATAAGTTTTAAATTATTTCCTAAAGAAAAAATGAAAAATACATATGACATCACATTGCTCACCTATCTGATTAAAAAAGTCTAAATGTTTGCCAGTATATTCTGTTGGCAAGACTGTGAGGAAATAGGCACTTTCACACATTTCTGGTGCAAATGCAAACTGGTACAAAGTCTAACGAAAGAGACTTGGCAATATCTATCTCTTAAAAGTGAAAATGCATTTATTCTATAACTCCACAGTTTTACTTCTATACCAAAGATAGACTAGCAAAGCTATGAACAGACAAAAAAAAAGTATGAAAAGACATATGCAGAAGGCTTTTTTTTAATTACAGCACTGTTTGTCATAGTAACAAACTGAAAAAAATAATCCTTCATCAGAGAACTGATGGAGTAAACAATGACTCCTCCACAAAAGACAGTATTTTGTAGCTAAAACAATGAATGAAGAATCTCTACATCTCTTTCTGTGAAAGGGTCTCTGGGAAACATAGTTAAATATGTAAAATGTACATATCAGGAAATATAAATTAATTGTGTATGTTACGCTCCTGTTATCTAAAATCAGCGGCATAAACATGTGTCCTATTCTGTAAATATACTATGCTAGTATAGCTCTAAATATTATGAATGTAAGAATAAGCCAAACTAAAGCAAAAATGATAACGATAGAGAGAATGACTATATAAGGTAGAGAGAAAAGGGATTGGAATCATATTGTTGCTGGGTGTGTTGGTTTGTTATTTTGAGATCATTGTGCATAACAGGATAAAGCAAATGAGTAATTTGTTGTCACTGAGAATCCTGACTTTAGGTATGGAGAGAGGAGAGACAATAGCACAATTAACAAAGGTAAATAAAAAACCTATGTTTCTAAACATGAATTGGAACTGTCAGTATGAATTCCATAATGTATTTTACCTTTATATTATTTCCTAGGTATGCCTTCTGAAAAGGCCTAGAATCAATTAGTAACACCATAGAAATGAGCACTCCTTATGCTCTGATTGAGGTCTGTAAGTACCATACCTAAGAGCTCCTTGGGAAAATAGGTATGTCTCAGTTTGGAGCAGGAATTATTCAAAATGAGTTTGGAATACCTTGTTATATCAGAAATCATTAAAACATTCAAAGACTACATGATCATGTCAAAGGAACTCAAGAGCCAACCTAAAGAGGCTCTGAATGGCCGAAAATGGGACGATTTGAATAAGAATAAAAACTTCAATGGATGGAAATGTATCAACCATGTTTAACCTTGTACATTCATAATGACACTAAAAAAAAACCTTTGAAAATGCTGGAGGATTAACCCATCATTTTGAAAGCTGATAAAGAGGAATAGCCTTTTTATACTATATACTTTCTTAAACTGTATCTCCAGATAATGAAATAGTTTTTTAGACTACTAGTATTTACAGAAATATTCCACTTAATATATAAAGATGGCTTGATAGAAGTAGAAATTTGGAATTCCTAATGAAATAATAAATCTATATCATGAGCATTTATGTCTACTAATATCACAAAAAGAAGACATCAGATACTATGTACCTCTCAAGAAGTACACAATAGTAACTAAGAAGCATTCTTGCCAAAATACAAGCCTCAGATCTGACTACCAATTTATAGGAAATATAAGGAGTAGAAAATGATGTTAAATAATTCCATGAGTATGCAACTAATATAATCTGAACTGTGGAAACCATGGGATGAAACACTTATTTTTTTTCATCAAAAGATATGCATGGAAAGAATATTTGACTTTGGGTAATGGGCTCACAATGCAACATGCAGATAATGTATCATAGAATTGTACATTTAAAACCTATATAATTTCATTTACCAATGTCACCTAATAAATATAATTTTCAAAAATTGCAAGAAAAAATAAGGTATAGAAGAGAGAAAGCATGGATCAAAATACACTTGAGACTTATCAACCAACTGCAGTTTATAGACTTTATTTAGATTCTGATTTGAAAATTTATAGACTATATATCATATATATCATAAGTATATATGTGCATGCACACACACATACACAATTCTGACTCAATTGATAAATTTCAACACTGCCTGTATAGTTGATGATTTTTTAAATTATGAGAGTATTATTTTAGATGTGCTAAAGGAACTGAAAGGAAGTCTTTATCTTTTAGGTATATATTAAAATGTTTTTTAATGAAATGACATGGCACCTGGAATAGTTCAAAAATAATCCAAGGAGAAGGAGGAAGTAGAAGAGCAGAAAAGAAGATTCAATGAGTTGATAATCATTGAATCTGGGTGATAGGTACATGGGGTTTCACTAGCATAGTCTCTGCATTATTGTATATGTTCAAAATATTTTGTTATAGAAAATTAAGAGAAGAAGATGCCCAGGACATTTTTAAAAGGTAAAGGTTTGTTTTCAGCCAAGATGTAACATAAAGGACCAGCTTTATCTGCCCACCTGAAAAAAGCCATACAAAATATATGAAACAATTGTTTTAGACACTGAACAAAAGCAAGAGAGAGAGAGAGAGAAAGAAAGAAAGAAAGAAAGAAAGAAAGAAAGAAAGAAAGAAAGAAAGAAAAAGGAAACAAATAAAAATGCCCTATAATTGCTCACTTTACTACCTTTAGAGAGTTTCCAGGCCACTATGGAGGGAGGAGGAACCCAGATTATGTTCAGAGGATACTTGAGTTCAGTACAGAGATAAAAGTCTATGGGGGGCAAGGGACCTAAATAGACACTTTTCAAAAGAGGACATACAGAGGCCAAGAGACATATGAAAACATGCTCAAAGTCACTAATGATCTGAGAGATGCAAATCAAAATGACAATGAGGTACCATCTCACACCTGTCAGAATGGCTACTATCAACAAATCAACAAATGACAAGTGCTGGAGAGGATGCAGAAAAAAAGGAACCCTCGTGCACTGCTGGTGGGAATGCAAACTGGTGCAGCCACTGTGGAGAACAGTATGGAGTTTCTCCAAAAAACTAAAAATGGAACTGCCATTTGACCCAATAATCCCTCTTCTAGGACTCTATTCCAAGAAACCAGAAACACCAATCAGAAAGGATATGTGCACCCCTATGTACATAGCAGCACAATTTACAATAGCTAAGATTTGGAAACAGCCTAAGTGCCCATCAGCATATGAGTGGATTAGAAAACTGGTATATCTAGACGGAATACTATGGATATGTGCACCCCTATGTACATAGCAGCACAATTTACAATAGCTAAGATTTGGAAACAGCCTAAGTGCCCATCAGCATATGAGTGGATTAGAAAACTGGTATATCTAGACAATGGAATACTATGCTGCTGTAAAAAGGAAGGAACTCCTCTCATTTACAGCAGTATGGATGGACCTGGAGAGTGTTATGCTAAGCAAAATAAGCCAGTCAGAGAAAGATAAATATCTCATGATCTCACTCATTTGTGGAATATAATGAACAACATAAACTAATGAACAAAAACAGATCCAGAGACAGAGAAGCATCGATCAGACCATCAAACCTAAAAGGGAAGGGAGGGGAAGGTGGGAGGAAGGGAGAGAGATCAACCAAAGGACTTGTATGCATGCATATAAGCATAACCAATAGACACAGACACTAAGGGAGTGGGGGGAAATTGGGGGGATAAGGACACATATGTAATACCTTAATCAATAAAGAAAAAATAATAATAAATAAAAAATTTTTAAAAGTCTATGGAGATTAAGGTGATTTGAGCTCACAGCCCAGAGTATTAGAGAAGAGACAATTGCCCAGAGGAGAGCCACAAAGACCTGCAGAGGATCCCCTTTAGTATTCAGCAGACTAGTAATCAACACACATGTAAGGAAACTATTAGCACAGGAACAATTGGATACTTACATTTAAAAATATAATTTATAACAGCATCAAAATGTAAAATACTTAAGAATAAATCTGAAAAAAGAGTGTGAAAGACCCATACACTGAAACCTGAAAAATACTAAGAGAAAGCACAGAAGACCTAAATAAATAGGGAGATATATCATGTCCATGGATCACAACACCCAAATTAGTAAATATGTCAATTTTCCACAAATTAATCTACAGATTCAACATAATTCAAATAAAAAAATCTCAGCATGTGCTTGTTGTGGGTTGTTTTGTGTGTTTTTTTTTTGGTAGAAATTAATAGGTTGTTTCTAAAAGTCATATGGAAATGCAAAGGGTCCAATATTGCCAAAAACAACTCTGAAAAAAGAATAACAAAGCTGGAGGACTAACATTATTCTATATCAAGACTTATTATAAAGCTACACTGTGTGGAATTGGTATAAAGAAAGACAGACAAATAGATCAGTAGAATAGAATGAAACTGTGAATAAATCCACATATGTATAAGCAACTGATTTTTGACAAAACTGCAAAAACAATTCATTTGAGAAAGAATAGTCTTTACAACAAACGGTATTGGAACACTTGGATATCTGTTTGTAAAAAATGAACTTCAATTACAAAACTGAAAATACAATATATACCTAAATGTAAAACCTAAAACTATAAAACTTCTAGAAGACAACATAGGAAATCTTTGGATTACATAAAGATGTCTTAGCTATGAGACAGAAAGCATGATCCACAAAAGAAAAAATAAGCTTGACTTTAACAAAAGTAAAAGATCTAGAAGTAACAAATAAGCACCTGAAAAGGTGTTCAATGCCATTAGTCATTAGGAAAACGCAAAGTAGAGCAACAATGAGATATAACTCATAATTGTAAAAAATGGCTAAGGTTAAAAAGACTGATATATCAAGTGTTGGCAAATGTAGAATCTAATGAACAAAATGAACTAACAAGCAAAATAAGTCAGACTCAGAGATAGAGAACAGGCTGACAGCCATTATGGTGGGGGGTTGAAGAGGAGCTGGGTAGGTGGGATGGAGAGATTGAGTAAAAAATAAAAACCTCATGGACACTGACAACAGTGTGGTGATTATAGGAGGTAGGGGAGGTGGAGGAGTGTATAGTGTATGGTGGGGACAAATGGTGATGAAAGGAGACTTGACTTGGGGTGGTGAACACACAATACAGAGCACAGATGGTGTGTTGTGGAAAAAAAAATGTGGAGCAACTGGAATTCTCAGTCTTTGCTGGTGGGCATATAAAATAGCACAGCCACTTTGGAAAACGTTTGGCATTTTCTTTGAAAGTTAAACATTTTCTACCACATGATCCAGCCATTTTACAGTGAGGTATTTTCCCATAAAAAAAAAAGAAAGTTTATGTCCATACAAAGATTTGAACCCAAATGTTCATTGTAGCATTACAGTGGGGCCTTGACTTACGAGTGTCCCGACTAACGAGTTTTTCGAGATACGAGCCGTTTCTCGGCCGATTTTTTGCTTTGAGTTGCGAGCTAAAATTCGGGTTATGAGCCAGCTTCAGATACCCCACCGCTAGTTGGCGCAGCGAACGTCACAGTGAACGCCACAACATCAGCCCAGCATTCAATTCATTGTAATGGTGAAAATTGATTTGACATACGAGTAATTTGAGTTACGAGCTCTGTCACAGAACGAATTAAACTCGTAAGTCAAGGCCCCACTGTATTTGTAATAGCCCCAAACTGGAAACAACCCAAATTTTCATCAACAGGTGAATGGATGAACAAATTCATACAGTGGGATTCTACTCGAGGGTGAAAAGAAAAGAACTATTGATATACTTAACACAATGGATGAATTTTAAAATATCTATAAACTTTAATCCCCCCAAAAACTAACCCAAAATATATTTTGAAAGACAAAAAAAACACGTACTGTACAATACCATTTATATAAATTCTAAACTTGAAAGCTGCTTGCCTGAGCATAGGGATAGGCAGAAAGAAGTTGAGAGAGAAGATTACAAACAGGCACAATGCAACTTTAGGGGGTAATAAATAGTCATTATTGTTATCTTGCTGATAATTTCATGTTAACATGTACATATGTCAAAACTATCAAATTGAATAGTTTATGTTCATTTTATTCTATATCAGTTTTATCTCAAAAAAAGTTGTTTGTTTAAGGTGAAAAGATCTCCAGTCTCCCCTCACTTTAGGTAAATGCACAGAAGGAGATAAAAAGAAAGTAGTAGGAACCATCAGAAATACAAATTTCAATACTTTTCTGATTACATTTGGACAACACATAGATCTAAAATAGTGGGACTTACCTTTTCTCCCACATACAGGGACTGTAATGCTATTATGTGACTCAACTAGACGGTAGAGTTTTACAGATTGCTGAAAAGGAGGGAAAATAGAAAAGGTTTATTTATTTGAGGATAGGTCCCAGGTATTACTCAGTGAAGTATTTGCCTTCTTTAAAGATGGAGCACTATCTTGTGGCCAACTGAAAGTACTGGCTAAAAACAAGACTGAGTAGCTTGTTACACAATTATTAAAGCATTCAACTGTGCTCTTCACTCAGCAATGAGAAGTGCATATTCTCTAGCATAAAGGAATTTCCCAGCATGCTCTTCCATTCAAAAGAGATTTTGATATCCATAAATTCCTATTTACTTTTTTAAGTAGATAAATAATATCTAGAACTTTGATCATTCAGATATACATTTAGTATACTAACTATCTTTAAGAACTAAGAATTATTTCAGTTTTGGGACATCCCGTATCAGAGTTCTTAATCTATAACTTTATAAGGAATTTGGTTGTTCCTACTATTTGCTTGTAGTATTTATTGTTCTAATATATTAAATATATGGTATATTAAGAGTGAATCAATAAAAGATAACAAGAAAAATATAATAAAATTATATTTTATTTTACATTTATTAAACAACTTTGTGTGAAAGACCTTTTATCTGGCTCTGGGGGTGGGAGGGTTAAAGGTGCCCATCATTTAGTGTGAGTTTTTATTCAGATTTTGTCATTTAAGACACTCTCTAAATCTACTAGCTTCAAATCATTTACAAATTTGATTAATATATCTTAATAATGGTTAATAGAATAGATAAGGTCAAAGACAGAGTGTTCTGCTATTAACTCACTTTTATTTATTCATACATTCACTCAACATTTGTTGAACAACCTTTATGCCCCCCAGAACTATGCTAACAGTTGGGAATAATATGAATAGTCAACAACAACAAAATTTGGTTCTTATCATCAAGCAATTTACAACCTAATGGGAGAAATACATTTAATTAAATAATCATATATATTAATATATCATTACAATCAGTAGTAAGAGGCAAAAAACATAAGGTGCTTTTGGAGCATATATAGCCAATGAATTGGCAGAAATACTTCTTGAAGAAGTGATATTGAATGAAATAGATTGTGGGATCTGAGTTTGGAACTCAAAAGAGGTATTTGGACTTGAGATATATATAAAATTAGAAGTCATTTAGCATATGCCTTTAGAAGTTATTGATATATGCAGCTATAAAAATAATGAAAAATCTCTCAGTGTACTCATATGAAAACACCCTCAACACATATTATTAATAATAATAAAGCTATGTAGAAAATTTTTGGAAGAATGCACAAGAAACTAATACAAGTGATTGAACAAGCGGAGGGGGAGCAGAAGATGGAACACACATGGTATACAAGATAGTGTATGCGTTGTATACATTTTCATATTGTTCTTATTTTTAGACACCCATTATTTTAAAAGGTCAGGTAGGGGAGGATAAACTATAAATGAGAATGGAAAAGAGCAACTAGAGAGCATGGAGAGTGGGTTGTCAATGAAACCAAAGGAAAAGAGTACTTGGTAAAGAAGCACTGGAGCCATTAACTATGTCAAATGCAACTGAGAGGCTTAGTGAAATCTGTACTGGAAATAAAAGGATCCACTGTGGGAAGGAGACCATAAAATCAGCAAAAGACCAATAAGCACCAAATTAATGGAGCACAAGAATACAGTTCATAGTAAAAGAAACAAACAGCTTAAAACATGAACAAGTGCTCCACTCAGTGGAAAACATACTATTAAATTTATTGGATTCTATTTTTGTTTATATTGGCAAAGATAAGGAAAACACTCATCTACTGTTGGGAGGAGTGTAAATTGTTATTACTTGGGTAAGGGTCATTTGGCCAATATTTATTAAAATACTATACCTAGCTCATGATTAAGTACTTTCAATTACATAAGTTTTATATCTTCATATCAATATAGATATAGATAATTATACATATATCTGTTATAACATATGTATTTATATTTGATGTAAATTATAGACTTGTAATTTATATATACTTATAAATATACATGTATGTGGGTGTGTGAAAAGATTTATGTGCAAGAATCATCATTGTGGCATTGTTTTAATAGTAAAAGACTAGAAACAACCTAACATCTATTAATGTAAACCTGGTTTACATCTAGAGAAAACATATTTGTGCAGATATGAAAAGATATTCAAGATTTATTCAGTAAAAATATGAAAGTACGTCAATGACAGTATACATATAATGTACTTCCATTTGTGTAAAACAAATTAATGCATATGTGTATAATATTGCTGAAAATATATGGAACATCTGGTCCCAGTAGATGCCTCTTGAAAGGTAACGTGGACACTGGGAGAACTAAATTGGGAGAAATATTTACTTGTTATTTATACTGTTTGAAATATTTATTATATCCATATATATTACTCTTTCTATTAAGAAAAAAATAGCTAAAAATTACTTTTTAAAAAAATTAAAACTACCTTAATTTTAAGGCCTTAAGATCATAGTGGTGACCTTAACAAAAGTTGTTTAAATAGTCATGAGAGAAGAATCTAGGTAGTATAGGCAAAACATGAGAAGGCGATGAGTAAATCATGGCAGTGTGCATAAAGAACTCAAGACGTTTTCCTGTAAAGGGAAGTAGAGAGGTAGACTAATAGCTGGAGGTGAAAGAATGGTCAAGAGAAGGGATCGTTTCATTTATTTAAGTTTTTTAAGTTGGGAGAAGCTTGACCATGTTTAAGTGCTAATGAGAAGGCTCTTGAGGAGAGGGAGCAAGAAGGGATCATCCGATGACTGGATAAGCACTCTGAGCAGGCTGGAGAGGATGCTCTCTCGAGGCAGGCAGAGGGCACTTTCTCCTCTGTAATGAGAGATCAAGGCAGGATAGAGGGGGAGAGAAGGGTCATTTGACAGTTAGAAAGTGGAGAGTTGAGCAAATTCCTGTCTTATGGCTTCTATCTTTATGAAAAATGTGGCAAGGTTATCTGCTGAATCAGAGGAAAAGTGGGATATGGGCAGCTAGGCATTTCAGAAACTTAAAAGGAGATTTGGTTTGAAACCTTGTCTAGATGAGGTGGGCATTCATGATTTGTAGTGAAGTCAACTAAACTGTTCTATGTGACTTTTTTTCCAACAGCACCTACATGCCCTGGTGTAGACATAAAGAAAGCCATGCTATGGATTTGGACTTTGACAAGTAAGTACCAACCAAACATAAAATGCAAAGAAGTTAATATTATTCAGAGACTCCTCCACCTTCCACCCCTCTTCCATCATCTTCAACATCCATCAGTATTCTCTAGATATATTTTTTCACTTATTAATGATTCATAAATTGTGCATAATCTTCTGCCTAATCACCATGAATAAGCCAAAGAGAGAACAAAAATAACTTGAAAGTTTAGGAATTGGGATATGAGAGAAGAAAAAGAACTAACAGTAGTTGAACATCAGCTATTGTGTTAGATATTAAAAACATGGTCTCTTTTATTATGGAGTGGACAATAACCATGTCCTGACTGTCCTTTCTAACATAATTTCAATAAAGTTATTACTGCTTTCTTTCTGAGACCGTAAGTTTTGTAGGAAAACTTACCGTTCTGAGATCATATACTGTCAAAGCTATGGAAATGGTGGACATAATTATGATGGCAAAAGCATATTCCTTATAGTCTTCACTAAACCACAAACAAACACTGAAGAGTTGAAATATGTAAAACGGATTTAAAACCTGTTGGCAGACAAAAACAGGAAGATGGAAAGATATTTAGGCTTCGCACTTAGTTATTCATTGACATTCATTTTCATAATTATCTCTATGACATAAATCGCCCACGCAATACTCTTATTATATTTCTTCAGGAATTGCCATGTGCCAAACACTGCACTAAGCAACTTCACCTGAATTTACTCACTTAGTTCTCATAATTACATCATTAAACAGATGTCATTGTTTATCTCCATTGTAAAGATGAAGAGACTGAACCTTAGATCTTGAGAAACTTGTCCAAGGTCACACAGCTGTGACTCTCCTAGACCAAGACTTGGACTCCGGCAATCTGACCCCAGAGTGCCTACTTTTAATCACTACTGCCCTTATAATTTACAAGGTAGTGCCTCACATATTCTTATGTTGACTATCACAACAGTTGTGTAAGGAGTAGGTATTATCATGTCCAGTTTACTGGCCTTCGGAAAGATGAAGTATTAGTTCAGGTTTACTAGTATAAAGTTAGAATGCTTCCTAGTTTTCTATGACACAGCATCTGCCATAATTGAAGCCATTAAAGGCTTTTACATTAATGGATGAGTTGAAGGTGGTATTTCCTCATAACAGCCAAGCTGAGGTGGTAAGCTGTAACTGAGCATCTAGGACACTGGGAAAAAGTAGAGGCTAACTCCTAACAGTTGTAATCCTGCTTTGGTTGAAAACATTCTGTGCCCTTACTCAAATTCCCGCCTGTCTAACACAGGAGTGGTAATCTTGCCTCTGGTTAGGGAAGAAGCACACAGGAACTTTGCCTACCAGATTCTGTTGCTTTTTTTCATGCCTGAAAGCTTGCTAGAAATATTGAGAAAGTACCTTGAGTTTATAAGCTTTATTTTAAGACAATGTGGGGTGGAGGTGAACTGCAGGAGAAAACCCAGAGTATAGCTATGTGGTTTCACAAATAATCACTATAAAATGAAAAATAAACCCAGTGATAGAGCCAAAGAGGAAAAATTTGCTCAGTAAATGATGGCCAAATCATTCTTTTCCTCCCCCACACACTTTGAGATCAATAGAACTAAGAAGGCTAAACAGATGTTTTTCTTCCTACAATTTTGTATGCTAAAGAAATTGCATATGTTTCCCATAAGAAAAGAATAGGTTTTCAATTTTTATTATTATTTTAGTTACGCAAAGTTGAGACAGACTAAGAAACAAAGGATTAAAAAATAAAAAGAATTTGTATTCATCTAGTCAGTAGGGGGTAAGTACACACATGAGCATCATATCTTATACTGTGTCAGGCATTGTGTGAAAAAGGTGGACTTCAAGAAAAAGAGTAGAAAAAGATATAAAGAAAACATGTTTGTCATTCTTTTAAAATATCCCAAATTACAGTTACCTATTAACAAGTAGCATTCTTGATTGTTTGACTAGGACCAAACTCCTTTATTTTCTATCCATCATCAAAAAAAGTAATATTACCTCTTTGATGAGCAGTTTCCAAATCGGTGTGATTTCAACATCAATAGTATTAGGCCCACATATTAACCTCCTATTGGGAAAGATCACACATCACTCAGTAACTAATAATAAAAATGAAACTCATTTCTTGCCCTTTCAAAAAATATCTAATTCACTTTCTCATTTTGGGAATTAATGTAAGCCTCCCTTGTGACATACCCCTAATCCTTCTCAAAATAACTGGGGAGGGGGAGGGATACCCAGGTACCAAAACAATAAATACAATCATACTGCATCTATTAAACTAGATTCTTTCTGAAGTCTAAATATTTCCCTCAGGGTAATTTTGGTATTTAATATTAGCAATTGTCTCATTCAAGTGTTTCAAGATTGGCATGCTCCCCAACTCTGGCTCCATAGAAATGGAAAGGAGAGGCCAATAGGAGAGAGTAGTTCTATTGATAAGGAATACTGTAACTACCTTCCTACTCCCAATCAGTTATAGGAAGCTGTTTCAATTTTGTTTCAATGTGAATGAAAAGGTGGTGTGCTCTCAAAAATAGCTCTACACAGAGTTATATAGCCCTTTAATTGAAGACCCAGAGATGTGTTTCTTTGATTATCACAGCAATGACCTTTATGAGTTTTTTGCAGTTGAGAATACTAACCACTTTCTCTCTGGTTAGCCTTTCTCTTTATTTTCCACTCTTTCCTTCTACATAAATGTTCAGATCCAAGAGCTTGGTCAAATATATTAGAGCAGTGCTTCTCATACTTTAATGTTCATATGAATAACTTTGTGATCTTGTTAATATGAAGATTCTGATTCAATAGGGGTGAGATGTGATCTAAGATTCTGCATTTCTAACAAGCTTCCTGGTGATGCTGATACTGCAACATTCTAGATCTATTTAAGGTACAGGAGATGGGGTGTAGGGGAATGTGAGAATCACAGGAACTTAGGACCAGCAAGGCCTTTATAGAGTTCTCCTCCCCCTTTTAACCATTAGGAAACTAAAGCCCGGAGAAGAGAAACTATTTGCTCAAAGCCACAGGGTGAATTAGTGACAGGCTCTTGATATTCAATCCAATGCTTTTCCTAGAACTTCTTTGCCTAGTAAGTGATTTGGAATTGTGGAGCTGTATGTCTTGCATGGTATTCTTCTGCCACTCCACAATTTTTACTTAACTATGTTATCATAGGATAATATATATTTCCTGATTGCAGTCAAAACTGGCTCAACCTTATTATTATAATAACCTTAGAAGACTTGTGTAGAAAAGAAAGAGCACCAAACCTACAGTCAGAAGTGTGAGACTCAGCTCTTTATCATTCCCCATCTGTGTGCTCTGTGCAGATCATTTAACCTCTCTTAGCCTCAGATTTCTCATCTGTTATGTTGGGATGAATGAGGTGTCTGTTCTACCTGCCTCACAAAGCTACTCTGATAAAGTGAGATAATATCTGTAAAAGCATTTGATTCAATACAACTAAGTAGAGCATTATAATGTTTTCTGATGTTGATCAGTTAAGATGATGATTAACTTATCTATTTGGCTAACTGGTAGGAATCTTTTTGAATAGGTGTAGATAACAATATGCATGGTACCTAATCTCTTGTTCTTCTCTTGTTAGACCTGATCCAAATTTTAGATGTATCTTGGCAGAACTGAGCCAGTCTTCCAACGAGCTAAAATAATAATAATGAGAAAGATATATTTAGCAGTAATATTTTTGAGATAATATTTTTCTTTGTTTGCAATTGTTAAAACAACTTACCCAATTTTCTGGAACTGTCCTTCTAAGTTGTTCCAAACATATCTTATTTTCTGCACTTTTATGTATCTCACCTACAAAAGAAAAGTACTAAGAAAGTCTCTTGTTTGAGGGTCAGCATATATACGATGTTTAATGGCTAAAGAAGCATTTGTGGAAGAAGCAAAGATAGAGCCCTACTATGGGTATTTAAGATTTTATCTTTTCCTAACTTGTCTTATCCTTTCCGACTACACAAATGGCATTCTTCATTAGAAGTCATCATTCAAACAACCTGAATCTTGGGTCTATTATATGGATAAGTATCTGAATAAAACTCAGTCTCTGCATTCTACTACCTTATAACCTAACAAGGAAAGAAAATATATTGCAAAGCAAAGAAAACTATACCATACCATCAAATATGAATAAGTCAAAGAAATTTTAAAAAGTAAAAATATAGTATTGAAATACTATAGAAATATGGAGAAGGCAGGTGACAGAGGCATCGTGGAGAAAATGACATCTGAGCTGCAGCCTTGAAAGACTGGAAGAATTTTGCTCAGATGAAATGGCAAGAGAGCATTTCAAAGACATTATGCACAAGTTAGTTGTGGAAGAGGGGCAAGTCAGTGTGCCTGTTTAAGAAATGGAGAAGGAGGGTGGAAAGATAAATAAAACTCAGCCCTAGCCTGTTTGGCTCCATGGATAGAGTGTCGGCCTGCAGGCCAAAAGGATCCCTGGTTCGATTCCAGTCAAGGTCATGTACCTTGGTTGCAGGCTCCTCCTCAGGGCTTGTGCAGGAGGCAACCAATTGATGTGTTTCTCTCACATTGATGTTTCTCTCCCTTTCTCCCTTTCTTTTCCACTCTTCCTAAAAAATCAATGAAAAAAATATTATCTGGTGAGGATTAATGAGAGAGAGAGAGAGAGAGAGAGAGAGAGAGAGAGAAAGGAAGAAAGGGAGAAAGGAAGGAAGGAAAGAAAGAAAGGAAAAATAAACAAGATCAGATAGTACTGCCTTAAATGCTAGATGAGGTATGTAGAACTTTATCTTAGAGTCAACGAACTTGCAGAGTACACTAAAAAGGGGGCACTAAAGAGGATTAGGCTGGTAGCAGGTACTAGAAGAGGGTGATAAGGTTATTGCAAGAAAAAGTGCTCCAGGAAGTGAGGATCTGAGAGTAGGGTGGGAAAGAAAGGAAAGGCTAATGTTTATAGCAATTTTGCCTTTTTGTTTCTGATTTCTTTAAGCAACTTTGTATATGAATCTGAATTTCCATTAACTGGTGACCTAATTAAGCACAAAGAAAAGCAGTGAGTCTGTCATATTGCTATGGAACAATGATTATAGCTTCATTTTGACCATTAGAATCAACTGGAGAGCATCGAAAAAGTTGTGATACTGGGTCCCACCTCCAAGAGATTCTGATTTCATTTATCTGGGGTGCAGCTGGGCATAAATATTTTTTAATTTCCTCAGGTAATTCTAATGTGCAGCCAAAGTCAAGAAACTGTTCAAGACTTCCTTTTATAGCTACTCTAATAATTGTGTCCTTGAGAACTTCAACTAAATGTCTCTGCACCTCAGTATTTTGGTGAATAAATTGAGGTCAGATCATTATTGAGTTCCATTGCCACTCCTTTGAACATGTCCTATACATACAAATATTATAGTCAATATAACAATTAGATAAATACTATAACTGGGAAAAGTATATAGCTGGTACATAATAAGTGCTCAATACATTTTTTATTAAATAAAAGAATGTTTTGTACACCACATGCCAACTAGACATAGAGTTTAAATTCCTCAACTCCAAGACCTTGGCTACCTCAAATGAATCTCTGAACTCTGTTCAATAAATACATGTGAAGATACACAGTGCATGCATGTAAGCATGCACACACACACACACACACACACACACACGTAGTTACCAAGTAAGAATGTTACATGCTGCACTTTTTGTTTTTACAGAATGGGTGTATTTCAATGAGGTTGGTTGCATAATATCTTTTAAAAATAAATCCTATTTTCCAATTGATTTTGAGCATAAGGTTTGAATTAATTGCTACTGGAAATTATTCTTTCTCCTTCACAAGTTGCAAGTTAGAGTGAAGAAGAGTATTTGAAAGTAACCAGCACAGATTATGATAGTTGTCATGGCCCATCTTTGAAACTCAAATTTCTTGCCTAACATCTTCTTTTCCTTTCCCATATTCCCTGCAATTTTGCTAATGGAGCTGGGTTATAATCATAGCTACTGTTTATGAGTACTTGGGAGCTTTTTGCACATCCTCTTTAGTCTTTTTAATCACCCTGTGGTAGGACAGATATTATTTTCATCTTCACTTCACCTCCAAAGTTCATTTTGATTAAGTAACTTGTCCAAGATTGAAGCTATAAAGAAGCAAGGCTAGAATTCAAACTCAAGCCCAGCTGGCCTCAAGTCCAGTTTCTCAAATAATCTAATAATCAGGTAGTCTCAGAAGTTCTGAAAATCCCATAACTTCCAGGAATTGTATAAAGGGAGGGTTCCCTACTTTATTAAGTCTATAAGTTCAAAATTCGTGTTGGAAAAATTTTAAAGGACAAATGATGGTAGAATGTGAGGCCACTGCCAAGTTAGAGAACATGGGTCAAGAGGCTGTGAAACCACAAACTGAGATTGAGAAATTTATAAAACATATTGGACACAAAACATCAGCAGAGGAAGGCAGCAATAATGAGGAATAAAGAGGTTACTGATAAGTTTTACCTCAGGCCAGAAAAAAGAAATTCCATTAACTCCTGACAATTTCTAAAGCCATTCTTCAGAGTAAGAAGAATGACTCTGTCATAGACCTTTTAAATGCCTTTGAGATTCCCCTAGCAGGAAATATCTCTGCCTAGAGTTTCTCTGCTTCCCTCATCACCTTCTAGGCTCTAGGCTGGTAAGAGGGTAAGCATTATACTTGCTAGAGGTGGAGTTTATTTGCCCATTTCCTGGAATTTGAGACCAAAAAAAAAATAGTAATTAGGAAATCAGGGATCTGCTGCAGGGTGAATTTCCTCTTTCAGCTCAGATCCAGGAAGCTTCCCCTCCCTGGGCTTCCTGCTCTTCGTTTCTTATTGGAATATGTTGTAAGAACATCCTATTGAACAGGTTAGACCCTGGGTTTCAATATTGCATGCAATCCTACAAGATGGTTTATAGAGTCTCTCTTAGCTTACGTTTGCAAACTTGACAAAGTTCTTAGCTGCAGTCTCCAAACTCCCTCTAAAAGGCCCTGACTGGTTATCATTTTTGTTTTGTTGTCTTTGTTATTGCCATCAGTGTTGTCATGGCTGAGCCTGTGACATCTCTAATTTTAATGAAAGTTTCAGTCCTTTGTGAATATAAATCACCTTAATATCCTTCTTCTCCTTTTAGGTTCAAACAGTCCTGAGAAACAGGCAAAGATGAAGTAACTACTCTTATTTTACAAATTAAGAAACTCAAAGCTCAGAAAGGCAGTAACTAGCCAAACTCCCTGTGTCTTATGCTGGTAGATAAAGATATCAAGCCTGGGTACCAGAATGTTCCACTCCAAGATCTCTGCCCCTTCCTCATATTTTGATTCTTTACTTGAGCATTCCTTCATTTGTCTGTCCACTTATTTGTCTGATGCAATTAAAGATGCCAGAGCTTAATCATACTCTGAGACCATGTCCATAAGGGTGATTTGGGATGTTTATTTCTCCAGGTGAGTGGCCACCTAACAGATTAAGCAATTGTTAGTTGGAGGTGCTTGACCTCTTTTGATTTTGAGTAGTAACAATTGACAATACAGAAACTGTTCAACAATTGACTGTTGTTATTTTTTTTAAATTGACCTGGAGCTCATAAAATTAATTTAAACAGCTGTTTACACACACACACACATGAGAAAATGGTCAGTCATATAAAATATTTTAATATGAATGTTAACTAGTCATAATCCAAGCAGTGCTCATTTAATATGGAGAGGTGGAAATAACTCAAACACATTTGAATGACAGACTCAAAATAAGGTCATCTTTCAGGTGACTCCTGGGCTATTCCTGGTGATTAACATTATTGCACAATAAACTCTGTTACACAGATTATTATACAGGGCTTGATTCTACTAAGAGCTAATATGTACTGAGCATCTATTATATACATGGCATCATATTAATCTTGGTATACCTCAATTTATTAGCAATTAATATTAGAGGTGGGCAGAATTTAGTAATTGGTCCAAGGTTGTCATCAAGGTTGCACATAACCATTTAAATGTTCTACACTGTCAACTGAAAATTAACACAGTGGAGGATCTGAATTTAATCTTACATTTTTTTGGCGGGGGGAGATTAAAATTTTCTAGCCTCAGCAGTAACCATGAATGTACTTACCTTTAGTTCTGGCTTTCTTATAGCTCTATTTATGAGACACTCCTCATCTGTAATGAGAGGGTGGTCAGGAGTGAGACCAAATGTGCTGTTCAATGCTGACAGGTAGATCCACATTACCTTTTTCCGAGAGTAGGTTTGGAATTCATCCTGGGGAAATAGACACCAAAACCCCCGTGAAGTTAAGAGATGTCATCAGGTTAAAATTCAACCTAAAAAAACATCATTTCAATATAATTCTATATGTTTGTGGAACTAATCAATATTCTAGACAGAATTATATACTTGGAAAGCCAGTAGATATAGAGCCCCGAGGGAAAGACTCTTGTCATCACACACTGAGGACATGGATAGGAGGCACTGGCACACACAACAGAGCATGAGAGTCGAGAGGTTGATTCTCAGGTTAGAGCTGGTTTTCCTTATTACCCTACAACCACAGGCTGTAGCCAGATGCAAAATGTCAAAGGGGGGGGGGGAAGCAAGTATTCTAAAGGGTTTCTTTGAGTTTCTGAGGGTGAGGAACCCAGGTCATCGAAACTCTGCCCATGTTTCCAAGCTTACCTTAAATTCTACCACTTCCAGAACAGCCCCTTTAACACCCACTCAAGGAGTGAGGGTAGGGATGGAATCTGGGGTGGAAGAGAGGCACAGAGGGCTGTCACTATACTAACTCCAGAGATTCTAACTGTCCCACTCTTGTGCTCCTAATCACTTTCTGTTTTATATTCTCCTAGTTCATCTAGACCAGTGGTTCTCAACCTTCTGGCCCTTTAAATACAGTTCCTCATGTTGTGACCCAACCATAAAATTATTTTCATTGCTACTTCAAAACTGTAATGTTGCTACTGTTATGAGTCGTAATGTAAATATCTGATATACAGGATGGTCTTAGGCGACCCCTATGAAAGGGTCATTCGACTGCCAAAGGGGTCGTGACCCACAGGTTGAGAACCACTGATCTAGACTATATTGAAGGCAAAGACCTTCATATCCCATCCATGTGGACAACTGCAACCAGCTCAGTGGCAGTCTGAGAATGAATGGAAAAAAAGAAGACTAAATGCATGGACTGAACATGACCAAAGGTGATTGTCGAGATGTCAGCACAGGTAGGATTGGAGAAGGTACTTTCTTTCATGACCCTCACTGAAGCTGCTTCCCTTTGCAGGTCACTGATGACTTCATCACAGAAGAAAACTAGAGGGAGCAGCGCTGAATTGCGTAGGTCCATTATATACTGATGTGATAATAACAGTGGCTATTATCTGAAGGGGTAAATGATACACATAAAATCTACTGGATGCCTGGTGAACCACAGGAGCTAGGAAGGTTAGCAGGGAAAGTCACGCCTGAGAAATAATATGATGCCTGGGGAATGTAGGTCAGAGCTGGGAATTGTCTCTACCACACCCACTCTTTTCATGAACAATGTCTGAGCTGACTCTGCACACACACAAACACACAATCTGTGCTGGCCTGGCTGGAGCACAGACACAGCCCCGTCCACATTCCAAGGGCAGTGATAAGGCAAAGGGCAGTGCAATGGGGACATATTAGTAGTGTGGTAAGAATCTCTGTATCCTAATGGTTTAGGAGACAGTCACTCAAAGAAATTAGGGAGGTTCCAAAACTTTGAATTGGACCCTAAATGGATGGTTGAGATCTAGCCACAGGAAACTTAAAGAGAGGAAAGGAGAATATATATTCTAGGCTAAAAAGGCAGCAGGAGCTTGGAGTCTATTATTTTTCCTATCTTGAAAAAAAAAACAAAAAAACATCGTCACTTGGAAATGGCTGTTTCCATTTCAGTCTGTTTCTCAGCTCTCTCGAGCAGTTAATGATTTGTGAAATACCTAAATGCATCAGAGCAGGTACTACCTTAAATAATTGCTTTGTATGCTTTGTAATACAAATAATCCACACTACCCGCAAAGCTAGAGTGTACCTTCTCTTTCTCAAGAGAATTAATGAGATCAGTCCTTGAGCTCTAAAAGAGTAGATGTTAAAATAATTCAAGAGTGCATTTCGAAGAATTGAACGTACACAGAGGACCAATCTTGACCTAGACAGAAAGATGGAGAAGGAAACATGGGCATTTTTTATTTCCTATGGCCTTGCACTTCCTACACCTGAAAATGCCAGGTGAGCTTTTATCTTTGAGTGAAATGAGTGACCTTGCTTATCTTCTTCCAACCTTTGCTCTGAGCACTTCATCTCTTGGAATTTAAAGGCAGTATAACAGTCACCTAAAGTTCAGGCCAATGCTGTGACTTATCCCCTTGTATAAGAGTTTTCTCCACACAAAAAATATACTTCTGAATTTGCCTTAAAAAGAAAAAATAATCCACTCAATGGTTTAGGAGACCTTAGGAAATCAGAACCTTTCCCTTGGAGATGGAGACATTGCAATGCTAAAAAGCTGAACTTTCACTGAAGTGAAGTAGAGAATTATAGATGAAGTAATAACTTACATGTCTCAGGATCTTTCTAAAACACTGTGCTACCTTTAAAGACCCATAACTTTGGTGGCAAACCATTCTTTCTGTTATTAAGTATCTCTCTTTTGTTTTTTCCTTTCCCCCTCTTGGCCAGGCCCATTGATACTCCAATCAGCCTGGCCTCGTAATCCCAAAGTCGCCTGGCTGGAAAAAGTTGACATTGGCTAAAACCTAGGATTTAGTTATAAAAGATAGAGAAATGGTTTTAAGCATTGGAAAAATCTCACACTAATTATTTTCTCAATATTCCTGGGACACGTTGACCAAAAAAAAATGAATGTGGTGAGTGCCAAAGCAGGGATGTTACATGACAAAGTGAAGGCTATGTCTATGTTTGTGTGCAAAAAAGAAAACCCCAAACAACTCAGCACATGTTTCCAGAGAGACTGGTGTTTTGGACTTATTTGTTTTTACAATCATTTTCTTAAATATCTGGAGACGCATTCTGTAGTTAAGAAGTAATCAATAAAAAGTTTAAATTGGTTTAAAAATGTGTGTAGTAACCAATGGCCATGGAATACCTGCAAGCCAGGCATAGTTTCATCTCAGCGCTTACAACATCCCACTCCATTTAGTCCCCATGACCCTGAGGGAGGTACTATTGTTAGCCCCACCTAACTGAAGAGGAAAAGGAGGCAGAAAGGGGGTATCTTGTCTATTATAAACTGAATTCCCCAAAATTCATATGTTGAGGCCCTGTCCCCAATGTGCCTGCATTTTCAGATAGGGCCTTTAAGGGGGTCATTAAGGGAGGTCATAAGGGTGTCACCCTAATCCACAGGGCTGGTGCCCTTATAAGAAGAGGCAGAGACACCAGAGCTCTCTGTCTCATGTGAGAACATAGAGAGAAAGCACCTGGCAGTCTGCAAGCCAGGAAGAAAGTTCTCACCAGAAACCAACCCTGCCAATCTTGATCTTGGACTTCTCTCTTCCAGAATACTGAGAAATTGCTGTTGTTTAAGGAACCATCTGTGGTATTCTATTTTGCCAGCCCAAGCTAACATATTGCCCAAGGTAGGTCAAGGGAAACACTGGGAATCAAGCCCAAGCACTCAGACACCACTCTTTACTCTTAAACCACTTCACAGTATGCCTTTGGAGAGTTTGTCCCTGGACAGGGAGTAATAAGATCTCCAGTTTAGACTCTAGTTCAACTTTCAGTAGAAGTTCTGCTTTCATTATGTACAGCTAGGATTCCTGAGCATTTCTTTTAACTTCTCTTTGCTTCCATCTGTAAAGTGGGGGGAAAGTAACCTCTACCAGTAAAGACCAAATGAGACAATATATATGCAAATACTTTGCAAACTGTAAATCACAAAATAAGTTGCACTGCCTTATAAAGGATAATGGTCTCAAAACTATTTGTCTGAATATAGAATCATTTCTGAAAGGCCAACCCACAGCATCTCTGGTATTTCCAGCTAAATGTTTAAGGAAAAGCCAGGTCGAAATAGAGGGAGGGGGGAATAGGATTCAGAAGAGGGAATGTGTACTTAAAGGAGACATAATAGTATCTTCTCTTACTTCCTCAATCTTGATGTTTCATTTTAGTGTCTTTGTAATACAGTGCTGGTAGAAAACATGAAACCATTTATTACAGATTCAATTATATTTATTTAATGAAACTAATAAGTGGAATTAAATAAGTATTTAACACCCGTTGCAGCCATGTGCTAGGTGCTATGAGGAATGAAAAGTAAGCCATAGTTTTTGTGTTCAAAAGCTTATAAACTAAAAGAAGAAAAAAGCTATAAAAAGGAATGTGGCATAGTAGAAAACAACTCTGGATTTTGAGTCAGGAGACAGGTTCAAGTTCTTTGTTCACCTATTCCCTTTACCTGGACTATTTCTCATGTGCTCCTCTCCACCATCACCTTTGAACTCTTAATATCTGTTGGAGCTCAGGAAAGTCTATCCATGAAGCTTTCCTAAGTAGTACTTAGAACAGTTGGAATTTTTACATGTATTTGTGTAGTGATCTCCATGATGTCAAAAACCCTGATTTTACTCATTGTTATACCTCTGCCCCCGGCCATGAGCTACCACTGTGGCTGGCACACAACCTGTGCTCATCAAATTTATGAAGGAGGGAGGAAGGGAGGTAGGGAGGCACCTGGCTGACATTTACTATTTGGCAAAGTTTCTTGTTCATTCATCTGCAAAATAGAGATGATAATGCCCATTTTCCAAGGTTATTACAAGAATTAAATAAAATAATCAATGAAATGCTATTTTATAAGATGTAAAGTGAATGCCATTTTAATATAAGGTAGACTGCTAAAAGCATTATAGCAGTCAAAGATAAAAATACAGAGCTAAAAGCGAATGAAATTCCCTCCAGAACTGGGGCAGAGAATAGATCAACAAAGCCTTAATAGAGAAGGTAGTATATGGCAGATGAATGAATAGGGTTGAATAAGTAGAGATAGAATACCTACTTTCTACATTTACTCTACAGAGAATATATGTGTATGAGTGTGTGCATGTATGTGCAGATGTATGTGTGCTTGAGTTGACTCCTCACCAGAATGTCACTCTGTAAGGACAGGTATTTCTGTCTGTTTTGTTCATAGCTGTATTCTCAATGCTTATAACAATGTCTGAGATATAATTAGAGATCAATGATTATTTATTGAATAAATAAATAAG